ACATAAGGACCCGACAGACAGTGCTGACTTGACTAGAATACATGAGTCTCTGATTTCAGGGAAGGAGATCTGCAAGGGAGATACATTGATAACACTTCCCTGTTTGAAGCCAGTTACTTTTATAGCTTCTCCTAGGCCATAATCTCAATGATATTCTCTTCATATGTTGCTTTTCAGGCACTAGATTGGCTATCTGTCTCACTGTCCTCCTTCCCATGGTCTATTTATGGCAAAGGGACAGGAATCATTCCCACAAACACAGCAATACACAAACCATAGAGAACCTAGGGCATTGTTACAAACATGATCTTTTGTGAATCTTTATTTTTATCAACTCTACCTTTTTTTCTTTTCTTTCATGACTCATAAAAATTGCTTGCTATACATGTGGTTTTGACCTGTCTTACATAGCAAGAAAGCAACAATTAACTGAAACTAGGAAATTCTGGCTTTGGCTGTCATTTCTAGTGGGTTTGGAAATCCCATCATTTAATTATCATTTAATATTTCTAATAAGCCTAGAACACTGTTAGCTCTCACAGGTATGTCCTCATGACAGAGGAATGCATGCTTCACAGCTTTTAAACCCTTATTTGCTCCTGGGTCACAGGAATTATATTCCTTCTTTTTAATGGATTTACCAGAGTAGTATTTTTTTATCCTGAAGGCTGCTGCATATTGTAAAGTTTCTAAGCTAGCTGCCAGGTTCTAAAGGTGACTTGGTGATGGCAGCTCAGAGATCTGTGTGAACTTACTTAAGATGTTGAGGTGATGTTCTACTGCTGTGGTTAGTTTTGCTATCTTACTGGTCCTACATTGAAGAATTCACCATAAACACTTTGTGGTGACTTTGCAGTCACTTTACTGTACTAAACAACAAAAGATAGTCTTAGAGGAGCAGACACTGCTATCTGTAAAGAAAGGACCAGTACATCACTGTCCATCTGTCTTCTCACAATGTCCAAACATATTTCTTTCAGGAGGAAAACTTGGCACATCATTGGCACAAAAGCATGTTTGAGAAGATCCAGTGGTCTGGGCAATGAGGGATCATAACTGTAGACTGTATAACAGAACTCCACTGTTGCTAAGGTAAGCAAAAATATTATAAATCATTATATCTCCAATGATCTCAGTAATTTACACAAACCAAGGTTCTAACCCAATGTGCCCAGTATTTTTGCTGTGAGGTGGCAAATATAGCTATGTTCACTGAGGTGGAAAATGTGTTTTAGTTACTTATATGGATTGTAGAGTCAAGGTCAGTGGCAGCATCTGTCTGAGGGGAAACAAAACGACCTTGTATGCTAAGTGACTCTATCTGTTGCAACAGGTGTCATTCACCAATATGTGTTTGTATAGAGATGAGTCTGAAATAGCAGCAATTACATGGGTGAGTCAATATGTAAAAAGTTCTAGAAACATCAATCTCTTTTAATGTAGGCAGAAAAAGGAAAGTTCACATGTGTAATTTCTTCCTGTAGGTAGCAATTATGAGGAAATGTAGCTCTCTGTGTTTGTTAACATGGACTAAAGCAGAAGATGAAACACTATTTCCTTTCTCCATGACAAAACATTATATGCATCTCTTCAGACATAAATAAAAGGCCTGGTTGTCTTCTCACATAGGTAGAAATCAGTCATGACCTTGCTGGGGTCACTGGAATTACACCAATGTAAGTTGTTGTTCTTAACATCAGAATCAAGATCTGAAAATTGATGATAGGTTAATTTGTGGGATACTGACATGCAGATTATCCCGAACTATTTTGGTCTCCCTGAATTATTCTTGCCTTCAATGAACTGTTACAAAGAACATCTTATATCCATTAAGCAGAAAAATTTTTCCTCCTGAGTGAGTCAAGGCCTGGAACATAATGTTTCCAACTTAATTATGCAGCTGACATTACATAAATTCTGTATTAAATTAAGAACATTGTTTGTAATTCCCTTAGAAAACAAAGTGGGATGAGCAGCATCTATATGTATTGTTCTTCTTATGCTCTGATAGATATATCAAAAGAAAGAAGTGCCAGCAGGTCCAGTTGAGCTCCCTCTTCATTTGGGCATTGAATCTCTCGGTAGGGAAGAAGTGTATTTGTGTTTAAGTATCTTTCTTCCTGTCTTACTAAATGACTTTTTGGAGTACTCTGTAAGTACACAAGGCGGTGAAGAAGGTCCTTGTGCTTTCAGTTTCTAGAACAGTTGCAATATTTCATTGTATTCTTTGAGTCCAGAGACAGAGAGACAGGTAGCTGTCAAAAAAATGGTGTGAAATAATTTAAAAAGCAGTTGAATAGCACTAGCCCTGGATAATGCAAGAAAACAAGCAGTAATTATTACTATAAAATGTTTATGCGGTGCTTTAAATTTATTTACTCTTTTTAAGCAAAAGCAAATGCATGCTTTCCATGGCTAATGAGCCTACTATGAAAACATATGTTTGTATGATTGAAATAGCTAATTTTTCAGTGTAGTAAATAAGACAAAGCTAGCTGGTGAAGAAAGGATAAGTTTAAAAAGAAACTTGGTAGTTAAAAAAATAAAAGAAAATTTAATTCAGTATTAATGAATGAAGGATTATGGGGCACCTTCTAATACTCAGTCTAATTTAACACTTTATATTCAGAGATATTTAATTGATTGGAAAGTTGAAAGTTTTTAAAAGACATGACTAGAGATTTTTTTTTTTTTTTTACATTTAAGAACTTTGATGAAGGACCTGACTGGGATAAAATAAAAGCTTCTCTCCAAACAAATACTCTTATATTTTTGTAATCTTTTTAATGTGTAATTGGTTTGTTTGTGTTTATCTTGAGACCAGAATAGGCAGTATTGAAATAAAGACGATGGAAAGCCAGACTGCTTTGTTGTATAGCTGGTGGTTCTGCAGCATAACCCTGATTAGACGACTAGTGTAAGTATACGCATGGAAAAAACCCAGATTTTTCTGATGAAAATGTCAGATAGATAGACAATTGTAGAAGATAAAGTTATTTCTAAAATTTTTAATTACTTTTCAGACTATGTCTTTTTCCCACAGAGTGTTTGGTTTTGATCAAGAAGCTTAAATGGTGAAATTCTGATTAATATCAGTGTGGACATCAAACTGCAGTGCCTCATGTGAATTCTTTTCTTTGTCTTAACAGTATTGTCCATGAAAAACTATGCTTTGGATCATCTGGAGGAATGCATTGTTGAGGGTATTAGAGATCTTGAACTATGAAGACTAACCCATGCAATCCTCCAAGTACAAACCTTGGGAAGCATTGCAACAGCATCTTTTGGGTAAAAATAATTTGATTTCTAGTTTTAACTAAAAAGGAAAAAATTCAAGTGCGGATTTTACTGGAATAGCTCTAGGATTCATGTAAAAGTGAACAAGTAGGATAATACAAATGAGCAAAAGATGAAATACAAAAATGGGAGATTAATGTATGAAATAGAGAGAAATGACATAGTGGAAAAAAATATATAAAGGTAGATTCAGGATTAGTAGTGAAGTATTAACTTCCCTGTGATCTACTGTTGGTTGAACTTCCTTAACACCATCTTATTTAGATTATATTAATGTTTTTTGCAAAATTGTGCTGTTATGTCTCCCTATGTATATGTGTAACATATATGTCTATGTCCTTCACATGCTGAGTTGACCAAAAGATGTGTGACCATGTTAGGGAAGATAAAAACTATTTAGAGTTCAAGTTCTTGATGCCATGCTCAGGTTCTCATGTAGTTTTTGATTAAGGGTGGACATGGGTGTATTTCACCGGTATGTGTTGAAACTGTGTATTGGAGACAAACATGTTTCCACCTGCTTCTAACCAGCTTAGATTTCCATTGATGCCGTTCCTAACTTAGCTAGGAGATCCCCTCTAAGTTGCGTAGGCTTCTTCCAGTGATAAATCCCTCACCAAGGCAAATTTTTTCAGCTTCACTAAGTTTTCTTGAAATCAGGTTAAAATGAATGCTAAGTGGATGACCTTGAATCTTTTTTTACAAGCTGTTTTACCACAACAAGCCCTGAACAGTCTTTGAATTATTTTCGTTTGATTTTATAGCATAACTTTCTCAGTTAATAACTTTGTCATGAAATTACACAGGGGAAGGATTAGTAACTTGTAATTACATGCATCACCCACTGAGCTGTGCCTGCTGCCTGGCTGCCTGTGTTGTCCACTCTCAGAGCTAACCACTTCAAGGGAAAACACACTTTTTTTTTGTTTTCTTCTCCTTTTTTAAAGTGCAATGTCTTTATTTATTCATTTATTTAGTGGCAAATAACTGTGTAGAATGCTCAAATGGTTTTAGCTGAGTTAACTGTAAAGCCACTGATTTAGGGCCATTAAGAGTCATTATATAACTAGAGGGTTTTAAATTATGTTATATCAAAAATGGAGCCTCAGGGTAAAGCCAAGAAAATATTTCTCTTTATGAAGCTCCTGTTTTACTCCTTTTTTGGATGTCTACTGTTAGATGAATTTAAAGTCTTATATATTACTTAGAAGTATGAAGTACTATACAGGCCCCTGCTCGCGTGACAGAGAATGAACTGCTGAGTAATGCTACTCGGAAGAAATAAGCCTTCCCAATACCTCTCTGTACTTTCCATGGCTTATTTGTACACACAGAGAAGTCTCATGATCATGCTTGTTTAAGAAAACACATATGATAGACAGAATACAGAGCTCCTACACATCCAAAACAATTTAATCCAAAGCCTCCTAGAGACTATTAGATTCATGGATTTCTTGATGATCAGAACTAAGATTAAATGTAAATCCATAATAACTCAATGGTGTCTACTATCTGTGACTAGGATAGGAAGGCAGAACTACTCAACAAGCCTCCTCTATATACCACATACAAAACCATCTTCAGTGCTGGTGCTATTTTGTAAATACTCTAAGTCAAGATAATTATCTGTAAATCTGAGTAAAATACTGCTTCACTTTGTAGTTCAGGACACGGTTTACTTCCTCACCAGCCTCTCTCCGTACCTTCTTGTGTTTGTAATAGTGTAGGTAGCCATTATGTTTCAGAACAAACCACCTCTTTCTCCAGCCCTTCAGTATTGCTGACTGTGTTCGTTTATGCAAATATCCTCTGCAGGTAGGTCTAGGGGTGTTAGGGTAACGGCTGATATCTGATCCCACCACCATAGTCAGGATATCAGGACCTAAAACATGACATGAAGAATGTGAAAACATATCTCAAAACTATAATCTGTTAATATTTTTTAATAACCCTATAGAGTATGGAGCAGGATTATTCTTTCCCATTCCCTTAACTTCCCAGTGTAACTTCTAGAAGCAGCAAGGAGCAACCTAGGAAATGATTAATTAAATCAAGCAATATTTGGCCTTCTTTTAACAAAAATTCAAGAATGAAACTAATTTTGTATTGAGGACTAGTAATGCAGCCAGCTATCTGAAGACACCTCAAAACAATTTTTGTGACCTATTTTTTCAAGCAGCATCTTAAGTGCTTACATACTTTATCAGTTTAGAGAAGTGGTTGGATTTCATTCCTCAAATGGGTATATATAAATTGGGGTATATACAAAAATTTCTGAGAATTTTCTTAGGGGCACTTTCAGTCTCTGTTATTTTACACATGCTCTTGAGAATTTTCTTTTCCATGTCTTGGAGTCTACTGACCTTTTGTGTTGTCTGTGCCTCTCACCAAGGGGACTTGCTGTTGGAGTCTAATCTGTGCTAAAGGGTTTACTTATAATTTGCAAAAGGTAAGTGCTCAAAGGAGATGTTAGTTTGCATGATTGTCTAAAAATGTGTTATTATCAACAGTGAGGTACAATTTCATAAAATTTGCTGATGCTATCAATACATCTATGGCTTTGACCTTTAAGGCCTAAAATTCTGATTATATCAGATACTACTATATAGCAGGTGGCAAAGCCTTAAAGAGGATTAAGAAATGTGACTATGACACATTTTCATTTGCAAAATATTTGCTGGATTTCTCTTTTGAGGACATTTGACTTTGGGAATGCTGTCTGTGTGCCAAGATTTAGGCCAGGGATGTTCTCTGAGGAGTTAAAAATACTTACTAATCAGAGATTTATCTACTAAAACATTCAACATACTCTTAAATATAACAGTGTGAATGGCACCTCTATAATTAAAGAACTTGGTATGTGTCAAGTTAAATTTGTCATTATCTTGTAAAAGCATTTTAATTGATTGAATTTCCTTGTGAAAATGATATCTGGGGTGAATAAAAGAATGACAGTAGATTAACTTTCAGCATGCAAACATGGGTATCTTTGGTCTTGATTTTAGACTTGATTTTAGTCATCACAAGTCTGGGAAGAATATGTATGGTTAATATCACTAACTCCTTGTTTCTGTGGTGCTGCAAAAGGATGCTTCATTAAATAACCTCTCTGCTCTCCTGACTAGACTTCAGGTCTTTATGACACAGAAATAACTACTGGGTGCACTGAATCAAGCTGTGAAGTCCTTTCCTGAGGAAGCATAAGGCTAAATAAGGTATTGGTGTGTCTGCAGTCACTTTCAGGACTTTCTCATTTACTATCTTTAAGGTAGGAGAGACAAAAGCATTACTGTCACATGTACTCTTTGGGGAATATTTTGTATATCCATTTTTGTTCTGTTTTCCTGGCAAGGTTTAGATATAAAAGTGACTTTAGTAGTACTGTATTAAATAATAATGTATTAAACTGTTAATTAAGATTTCTGTTGCATCCATCAACCAACTTTTCTGGATGTATTTGGAGCATCGTACAGCAATCCTGACCCCTCTGTGTATTTTCTTGTGATCTCAAGTTTACCTTTTCTTGCCAGATTGGCAGCTTCTGAATGTGGCATGCTGGTGACATCAGTTCCATTCACTGCTATCAGAATATCCCCAACCTGAAGCCCTGCTTCTTCAGCTGCACTGTCTGGAATAAAAAAAACCCAACATTTTATTTAGAGTTAGGATATCAAGCATGTCTATGTGATCAAGTTTTTCTAGCAAAACAGGTATCTGTCCAACAGTCAAGCTCTGGGGCCTTTGTGATGTCAACTTGGAGCAAGTTTTTCTGAGAAATGGGTTAGTCATCTGTAAATGAAGCTTCAGAGTTTAGGTACTGGTTCAACACTAGATACTCACCGACAGTGGAGAAATTTAATTAAAACTGCCATTAGGACTTACATGTTTTAAGATGAAAATAGGCATTTCAGTATCTGAGGATTTTGTCCTAAAGTGCAAACAAACGCCTGGTGCAACGTTCAGTAAAGTTAGTAGAAAAAAAATCTATTATTCTGGTGAACTTTGGCTTTAAGACCAAAAGACTGCTTTGTGTGCTGATGTTTCTCTTACTGGTTAAGAGAATTTGGCTATAGTATTTTGTGGGGTTTTGTCTTTAGGAGGAAAAAACATAGTGAGTTAACAAAGAGTCAGTGAAGGAGGGATGGAATCAGATTTGTTAATATATCAACCTTTTATTTATTCATTAATTGTTGCAAAGTACATACACTTCCAATAAAATAGTGCTCAGACACATGCCAGCCAGGAATGGTGGCAATTTAGAGAAGTCATAAATACCCTTCATTCATGGGCACCAGTACACAGTTACTTAAATCCCAGTTACAAATTTCTCAGTCTGTTTTTTCCTTCTCTTTTATAATTAAGCAATCCTAATGTACCAGGAAAAAAATGGTTTTGGAAAATATTGTTCCATGTCCATATATATAATGTATATTTTAAAAGATTTTGTACCTTATTATGCAGTAAATGTGATTGTTCAGTGCATTTCTGAGGCTTCTTAGAAGTTGTAGGGAAGAGAATAGTAAAGGCTTAATAATAAACAGGCACAAAAAAGCCATGGTTCACCCTCATGTGTATTACAAATCATGTGCAAATTTGCCAAAGGCAACACATTTTGAGTTGTGCTGGCCTTGAGGATCTCATACAAGACTTTATGATCATAAGCAGTCTTCAAAATATTATTAAAATGTCTCAGTGTGTAATAAAAAAGATACAAATGCAATTTTTGTCTGTTTTAATAAAATTAGTAATATTTCGAGAAACCAGAATTTTATTATAAATTTGTCTTTAAAAAATACTTTTTGTTGTTCCTATTTTAAAGCAACTGCATTTGAAAAGAAAACATACAAACATACAAGTAAATTTAAGAAGAGTGATATACAATGTGAGTAGCTATACTTAACTTTTATTAGTAGGTATTAGGGCTAATGTGTGCATGACCTACGATTTATATTTAGGTAAAACATTTTCCCACATTCTAATTTGAAAGACCTCTTCTGAGGTTATATTATACTCTTTGACAAAACAACCCTAAGGGAATCTGTATGTTTACAATTGGGAAATCATGTAAAACTTTCAATTCTAGAGAGAAGAAACATTTCTTTGCAACAGAGATAACTTTGTATGGATAGATACTGAAATTCCAAGCAATCTGATAATAACAGCTAGTTGTCCAGGCACACACACATTGTCACAGTTGTGCTATTAAGACAAATGATGGCTGAGCTGAGTAATTTTGTTTTCTTAAAATAATCAGCAATGAATAATACTGATCCTTAACCTTGCAGTCAAAAATAATATTCTGATGAGCAGAAGAAGGTTTTTAATTCAAAATTACTTTCTCTTGTTCACAGTAAATTTTCACATAAGTTATACTGTGAAGATTACTAGTCTCAAGAATTATAAAAATATGTATGATGGACTAAAATTAAGTAGCTATTTCAGGATGAAGAACATTACATAGCCACTTTAGTGTATGGGTTTCTAATACAAGTCAGACTTCTAAAGTATTAGTAAAGTGTTGACCTTTTCAGATTTTTTTTTTTTTTCTGTGCATGTTGCTCCCTGGCTCAGATTTCTGACTTTTCTGATCTTCCCTAGTGGAGTTTAATGATGACCCTATTTAGTAGCTCAGCAGGCAGTTTTTAAAATGATGGGTTCGACTAATGGATTCATGGGTTTCTGAATTCACAGGCTTTCCCAGCGTTGTCAAGAAGCTGAACAATATAAAACACAATGCTGGTAAAGTGACAGAGCTATATTTAGATGTCTTGTTAGAGGGTGTGCACTGGCATTCTTGGTCTACGATGACATTTTTTTTTTAATATATGCCTTTGATATTAGAAATCTGGCAGGGTCTCCTGTACCTTCTGCTCCTTCTCTAGTTCTACTCTGTCAATCCTGAGGATACGGAAAGCAGCACAGCAAACAATACTCTAGATTTGGATGAATCAAGGTTTAGGCAGCAACAAAATGAATGTGACTCTCTGTGTCTCATTCTTACTGCTAGTACAGACAGAGCCAGCTTTTAGATGTATTTCTAGGCTGCCATTGCACACAGAGCCAATGATTTCAGAGACCTTTCAGTGGTGACTCCCAAGATCTCATTCCTGAGTGTCACTGCCAATACTATGTTCTCCATCATGTAGACATGGTATAGATAATTTCTGTTTAGAAGCATTATCTCACATTTAATCTTTGTTGACACTCATCTGCCATTTTTTTTTTTTCTCACTCATTCAGTTTTGCCAGTTTCTTCTGGAGTTCCTCACAATGATCAGACTGCTCCGCAGAAGTTAATAGAATGTCTGTTAAGAATTATAGATGGCTCAGTGGAAACCCATCCAAGCAGAAGTCTCCCCAGCTAATAAGAGGTTTGGAAATATTGAGGGTCACTGCATCCTTCATTTCATTCTTAAATCTGTTGTAATTAACAGATGTCAGTTCCCAAAAGTTTTGGACTTTACATCTGGAGAGAGGCTGGATGCAGACACTTGCATACGGTACCAACTGGCAGGGAAGAACACAGAACAGTGGAGACTGGTTTACCATAGGCATATGGGGTCCCTAAGATACTTTGTCATGAGCAGCTCAAGGACCTGTCACTAAACACCTTACAACCAATATTATTTATGTATGTCTATATTACATATTATTATAAAACTGATGTTCTATATGATGTAGATAATATATATTACTAAATATTATATATTTATTTTAATACATTTTTATAAGATAATTTGACCAGTACCAACACAACTTACTTGTGTCTACTTCAGTCACAAGGATAGGCTTTGAGAACTGGATCCTGAAACCCCAAGGGTAATTTCCAGTTCCTTTAGCAATCTTCACTGTTCTTTCGCGAACTGCAAAATAGGAAAAAATATATCCCTTTTTCTGTACAAGCCAAGTTCAATTTAACAAGCAGCAGTCTGGTTTTAAAACTTCTTATCTATAGGCACTGACAGTTATTGATTTTGCAAATGGCTGGGATGCTTTACTCCTAGCTGTTTGGTGCTGCTCCTCTGCCAGTGTGTACCTCCCTCATGCCATGACTGATTAAATGTCATTCATGTCAGGACAAAGACAGACAGCATCAATGAAGTGTGCTTTCATCTGCAGTTTAAGTGCCTGGAACTTGTAATGAAGAGGTGGAGAATCATTCACATATTCTACTCTACCAATGGTGTTGTGAGAGAGAAAATTGTTCCTGCTCTCACTGTCAGACTTCTAAACTGCAAAGACAAAATAAGCTCTAAATTCTTAAATGAGTTTAAATACGTTTCTTGTAGTTTTATTGTTGTATTTTAGAAGGTCTTTTGGATACCAATTTTTCCTTTTGTTTACCCATTCCTGTCTGCACCCTGCTTCCACTACCTTCCAATCTTCTAGTCCAACACCCCAACCACACTGGCATCTCCTGACACCATGGCTATACCCATGTGAAATGTCTTTCAAGTCAGTAGAATTTAACACATAAATGGGAGAAGGAGTAAAAAGGAAGACCAGGGTCTAATTGCCTACTTCCAATGTTTTCTCAGGGTCTAGTATTATTATTGTGTCTCAAATGGTCTGGCTCATTAGCATATCTTATACTCATGAAGGACTTCAGAATAAATATGAATTCTCAGGGTGTCTGCTTTTGATCATTTGACTGTCTTACTGTATTTGTTTAATGCGGGGCAACTTTATAATTTGACAGCTGTTTTGTCTTCAAATTGTAGACTATTTGGAAGATAGGAATTACTTTAAAGGTTACTTTACTAGCAGACCAATTTATGTTACCTGTTTAAAAGAGCATGTATACTTCAATCCCTACTTTAATGATCTCACTGAACTTCTGAGCTCTCCCATGGGGAAGAGGCAATAAAAATGGCTCCCCAGAATATTCTTATATATTTCAAGGGAGATTTTTCATATCTGGAGATTTATAGAGGACATTTGTTTTCTCTCATATTGTGAATGATTTATGAGCTTCATCAAAGAACTATCTCCTGGAAAGCTACAGGGTGTTTCAGTTTGTATTAGTTCTTTGAACTCTGTTAACTTTCAGTAACTTAAAATTTGAAAAGTGAAGGGAAACCTTGCATCCCCCTGAAAAAGTTTTTCACGATACTTGTTTGCATGACAGGATTTAAATTACACATAAACCAAACCTTCATGCCCATAGCAAACTCGATTCTTTTCTTTCTTGATCTACTATATTTGAAATGTTGATGTAGAACAGGTTTTCTGACATTGTAATATTTTATGTCCATAAATAGCTCTCTTATGATTTTGCCATGCTTGGAGAAGTTATGAAATTGCATTGCTTCTGCCCTTATCACAGTATCAGTTTTGTCAAGTAATTATGACATTTTGAAAGAGAGTAGCTAAATAAGAGCTACTTACTTTTTCTTATAACCTTTTAGCTCCTTGGATTGCTCTTTTTCCTGTCTTCAGAATCTACTCCAAAAAGCTGATGCCATGGAATTCTCCCAATAAATACAGTTTTATGACATTTATTACCTGCTGCTTTAGACAACTTACTTGCCACTGGTCTAGGCCTTTTGCTGAGACATCTAGGACTGTTATCCGGAGATACATCATCTCCTCTGAAAACCCAGGAAGCAGAATGAAAGTTTTCTGAATAAAAGCCTCTGTCCTCATTTTCAGAATGTAGTCTCAGATCTACTGACCGAGCATCCTCTGAAATTACTGTCATAAGATAAAACAATTAAAAGGAATGTCAGTAGGGAAAATGCATTAAGAATAACAGACCTCATCCAGTCAGCATGGAATTATTGCCTCAAACTTCTTAATGAACTCTTTGTAACGTCTGTACTTAGTTCTGCAATTTTGCTGCAGTTAAAGGGGCAGTCTGCAAAGATGTACAAATATAAGATCACAATATTGGATGCTATTGCATACTGAACTCAATGCCAAGTGAATTAAAACCACAAATGCCAAGTGAAGTCTTAATGCAAATGATTGAAAGAAGAGCTTGCACCTCTTTAAGAGGTCAGGCTTTAGCCAATTGTTAAACTTTCTTATGCAGCCCATTTGATTAGGAAACCAAACAAATTTTCTAGAAATTTAATATGAGATTAGTGCATATGGGAAGAAAAAAGACAAACTGAAAAAAACTGGGATGACTCAGGTAATTATGACCATATTTGAAGTTCGCTTAATCTTAGCTCTTTGAGATCTATGCATTTAGTTTTATTAAAAAGGAGGTGAGGAAATAATAGTTTGCATTTTGTTTTTGTTTAACATAAAACTTCTGGCTTTTCCTAGGCTGTTGAATATTTATATGATGTTACATGTGTTGTAATGAGGATTTTCAGGTTCATATTTTGTCTTAATTTGCATTCACAGTCTTTCAGTGAGTTCACTGGGTCAAACCATGTCACCCAGATAAACATGGAGAGGGAGGAAAGCTCTAATGCTCCGCTAAAGGAAAAAGAAATAATGTTCAGGCTCACAAGGATATAGGACCTCAGGCAGCTGAACATGTGACAGGCAGGCTATAAACAGCAGTTTGACTGTGAAGAAAAAGGCTATGCAATAGTATGACAATTTCTCAAGCAGTCTGAGAGCTGGAACTTCCAATCTAAAACTGGATGGTGAAAAGTACATAAATGTATAGACCATCAGAGACTGCACTAACAGATAGACTGAAAAAATGCTTTATTATAAATTATCTGCTGGGAAAAAAAAAATCATATTCCTTTCAGTACAAAACACAGCTAGTATAATGCAGCTGGAGAAAGGATCTGTTTGCTTAGTTTATCCTGTGTTTGATGTGGCAATGATTTCCTGTTTCAAAACAGAAAAGTAAAATTAACCTTTGTTTAGTTTTGTTCAGCAAGTTACTTCCTGAATACATCTAAATGGTAGTCTTTTTTCACTTTGACAGTTTGCGTAACTGTGTCTATGTAGAAAAATACTCCACATCCACTGACCTCCCTTATACAGAAAGTCTGAGGTGGCATGATTAACTATATAAAAAGATGACATGATTAACTGTATAAAAAGCTGCTAGTAAATAAATAAAAATAAGCAAATAAATATATACTACTAGGATGATATGTTTAAAGCACATCTTAGCTTGCTATCAGGAATTTATAAATTAAGAAAAACTATACTAGCAACAAGCAATTCAGTACAGCACAGTTTTTTGCCAGTTTGATACAGAATTGTTATAATTGCATTAGAACTTAAAATCTGACAAATAGTCAAAACCAGAGAAATAAATGCTGCTATGCTGGTCTTATGGAATTATGCCAAGACACTTCTTGAATGTCTTTTCACCTCTCCCCACCTTGAGCTTTCAGCACTGATGTCAAATTGAGCAGTTTATGAGCATCAGGAATAAGCTGCACTTAGGTTCTTCTTAGCTGCTGGAAGTAAGCACATTAGGAGCTGCAGCTTCCAGATACTGATTTGAGTTGTCTCAAGTCTGCAAACACCAGTGAACAGTTTAGCTACCAAACCAAAAAGGACAGAAGGCTCAGGCCTGTAGCATATTATCCAAAATGTTTATATACTAAGATGTGACAGAATTGTCTGCTCACTCACCTGTTTTGGAGACCACTTCAGGTTCATGCCATGTGCTACCAAAATCTTCTAGCTCTTGCAACTTAGTCTTTTTGTTTGTTTGTTTGTTTATTCATTTTTATTTTTTAAATTTTTTTAAAATTTATTTTATTTTCTCTGATATCAGCATGTGTCTCATCTAGTAAAATGAATGGTCCAGTCTTATATTCAACAGATACTACTTTTGAAATCAGTGAACAGTTTATCTTGGTGTATCTATCTCCTGGTAGGTTTTTGAGCTTTGGTGGTTTGACATGGTAACTTTCTAATCTCTTTGCCATGGACTTGAATTTGTCTTAGGGGCAAAGCATGGAAACTGCTACCATTAAACAGCTTTTTAATTTTCATGTGACACATCATTCATCCCTTAATAACAGGCATTAAAAAGTTAAGGATTGATTCAGTTATCTGATCACAGGTGGCTAGTACCATATTAGATGCCTTAAGGTATCTCACTTGACATTCAGTAACTGCTTTAAAAAGGCATGGGTTGCCTGTAGGCATCTCATCTGGCAAATGACACCTGTGTTTAGGTAGTGACTTGATGCCCTGCTGATGTAGGACTTACCTTTTCAGCACACAGACAGAACATATTTACAGTTTATCTTCTATTGGACCTGCACTGAAGCCTTACAGCTCTCAGTCTACTATATATTTCCATTTAACCTTCTTCAGAAAGGAGGTTACACATTTACAGATAAAACTTCCCTCATCAGAAGTAACCATCACAGCACAAAATATTTCCACAGAGAAGTGCATATTTCTTCATCAAAGTACTTCTTACACTACTAAAATAGCAAAACAGGAGTCAAAGGTGGTGTGAAGTAAGTAGTAACACATATGTTCTCTCTTAGACTGTGCAGTCCTTCCTCGAGGACTCCACTTCCATGAAGTGCAAATTCATTAAACAGTTACTCTTTAAAATTCCTTCCCATGTGATTTAAGCTGATGAGCATATAGCAAGGTGACAGATTTCTTAATGAGACAGTTATGGGACTAACTGTTTCAGTAACTAGAGGGGCATGAAGGACAATCTAGACAACAGCCTGAACACAAAGGTGAATCAGGTGGTAATCTTAGGAGAGGACTCTCAGCTCACCGTGGCCTTGACATAAGCAAAGTGGGCATCAGAAGTATGGCTTTCATTACACTCTCAAAGTTGCTGCTGTATGTAATTACCTGTTTGTCTGTGCTTAGACCTTGTCTTAACATTAGTTGCATATGTACAAGAATGGTACAAACAACTGTTATTCAGTCAGATTGTTCACTTGGTTATATGAAGGAGAGAGGATACTAACTCCCATAAGTGAGGGACAGTTCAGTTGGATAAAATATGCTTGCTCATCATAATGACTAAGACATAGACTGAAGTTATGAGTTTTCTTAGCTGAAAACAGAGTGTCAGTCACACGAAGGAGAAAGAATAGAATTGTAAGACTAAAGTACTCACTTGATCCCTCAGTAATTGTGCTGTTTATGGAGCTTCCTCCAGTTGAACTGCATTTTTTGCTGTCTTTGAACTGTTTCCGTCTCCTGGCCCACTGGTCTATTGCTTCTTCCTGGGAACTATCACTAGCTCTGGTGTCTTTCATCAAAGGCAGCTTTCTGGTTTTATTCATTTCTGATTTCAAGTCTAAATTATAACCAGACATTGTAAGGAATACGCAAGATAACTTAAGCAATTACACTGTTTAAAATTTTCACATTCTAAACAGGAGAATAACCTAGCCAAACATAGAAGTGAAAACAGCAAATAATACTGAAAATATATTATAATATATAATATAGTAATACTGAAAGTATATATTTTAGACTAATTGAGGTCTTCATGCAGAGAAAAGTGTATGTGATTACCTTGTGGTAGTTGTATCTGTAGTTAAATACCTAGACAGTCATTTGTATGGCACCATTTTTATGCAAAAACATGTGAATTGCTCATAGATTTTATTTACAAGTACTCATACATTTTTGAAGTGGCCAGTATGTAGATATATGAAGTATTGTTTAATCATCAAAAATCTTGAAAGATGCACACACAGATAAAAGGAGAATATATCTATCAACTTTCAGTTTCTTACTAGGTAGGGCAGTAAAAATTTATTTGTTGTATTACTATTTTGAGCTAAAACAACAATTGGAAAGCAGACTGTGCTGGATTCCATTCTGAAAATGCAACTGAATCCACCGGCAAGGATAGATAGGGAGAAAGTGAGCCCAGCCTCAACAGTGTTGTGTTAAGTGCTCTCTTGGCTCAATAGCCTCTTTCTGACTTCAGTCAGATCTCCATCACAGATGTGTGCCACTGAGCCCCTTCTCCAGGGCAGCTGACTGTTGCTGAGAGTTAGGAAACCAATTTCTTGTAGTGCCCTTCTAGTGCCCTTTGCATGAGTCCTTGCCCCTCGGATAATAAGTAAGTTCCCACAGCACCAGCAGACTTCTAGGTTGCTTGGACTCCTCTCCCCCATCCTCTTTACAACATTTGCATCTGTTTTTCTCCTCAGTTCTAGATGCTCTCACTCTTTGTTAAAAAATGACACATATACTTTCCAGTGTCACTGAATTACCGAACACAGCAAGTCCCACATTGCTCAGTGTCTTGACTAGGTAGGCTAGTATTCCCACATTACAAGTGGACTTCGTTTCATATTAACAAGTTTTAAAACTTTAAATGCTTATACTTCTTTCCGGATGTACACATTTACTCCTTTAAGATGGGACCTCCACAGCATTGCTAACAATAACACAGATGGAAAATCAAAACACTGCCATACACCAAAAGAGGACAAAAGTTACAGACCAGGTGAGGTGATAGATTAGAGAAAGAACACACATAGATAATTCTTAGCAAGAGGTGGAAGGGAGAGGAAAGAATAAAATCAAAGTGCAAGAAATAAATACAACTCACTTCTGTCCTGTGAGTTTAACCGCGGAGATCTAATGTATGAGAAGTCAAAGTTTTTGAGCATGTAAGCTTCCTTCAGTGTCTTCTTTCTATATCTTGTTCTAAAGAGATTCTATTGAATTAGTTCTCTATTTATTTTAGTATTTTAGATATTGATCTATATAGCAATATCTAGTTATATATCTATATAGTCTATATAAACTTCAGGTATTTTTGAAATTTCCGTTACCAGTGCCAAACAGGACAACCTTGGAGGACATACCAGTAAGATTATTAAAAACTTTCTGATGCTTTTTACTAAGATTTTTGAAGACATTTTCCCATTTATTTTTCAACAGTATAGAACTCCTAGCCTCCAAACCTGCTGGAAACATTCTCTTTTGGAGAGGACAATCTGAGTTAAATTTGTATATAACTTGATTAATATTAAAAAATTAAAGTGTTTGGAGTGATATTTCAAAAACACACACTCTCATATGTGTGTGTACATATTCACAATGTAAGAAGCTTACTTTGTAGTGTGCAGTTCCCATTATGGCTTTACATTTTTATAATTTACACCACTCCTTTTAAATGACCAGTTATGGATATGAGTAGATGTATTACAGAAGGGAATACAAGAAATTCTGTAAAAGATAAACTATTAAAACCAATTATTTTTCATAAGCAGTTTTCTTAATGACATAAAGAGAGGAGAAAGAAAGTTAAATGATCTAGTATGGTCATTCCATGACATGTAAAGACTCAGCCAAAATTAGGACTGAGATGTACTCAGAATTTAGTATTTGCTTAGATCACATGGATTCCAAAACCAGATTTATATGGTTTTAAACACTGACTAGACCTCTGAGTTCATGCCACATGTCAACTGCAAAAAAAACCTTCCTGTTTTGGTGTTTGCTTTTCTTACTAGATGCATAGGATGGGCTGTTTAATGTATGAAACCCACTTCTTGAGCAAAGCTGAATTAAAATTGTCTTTATTTTTAATTTAAGTTACTTAGCTATATAAGATGGCTCCTAGGATCCTCAACACAATAACTGTATATTATAACCAAATGGTCTAGCAAGCCAGTATAATCTTTTTGTAAAGTTATGATATACCTTCATTTTAAAAAAAAAATTGAATTTCACCAAAGCAATAAACCACCTATGCAAAAGGTGTGTAAATGATATTAACTCCTGAAGTCTTATAACACCTACCTTTCTGACTAATCTGTTTTACTGATGATGGGGGAATATCTGCATTCTGATGAAAATCTTCTTTCATTTCAATCTTTTTTTTCTCAACTTCATCAGAGTTGGATTTGGCTAACTGACGTAGTTGATGTGCTTCAGACTCTCTCTTTAAGCTATCATCAGTTGCCTCTTTACTGCAAAAATTCTTTGGTCTTTCCTCGACATTTGACTGTTCTGGGAAATTCTCTTTCTTTTCTGTATATGCCAAAGAGGTAGATAATATGGCAGCCTGTGCGGAATTACTACGGCAATCAGATTCAACAAGGATATCCCCAAATATGTCTTGTATCTCTGAAAAGCTTTCTGATTCATTATTTATGTTATGCTCCTCAGGATCTAATAGCAAGGATGACAGCAAGGATTTTTCTTGTATACTACAGGGAAGTTTAGACTCTTTTCTTAATGCAGAGTCAAAAAAATCAGGTATTAATTTAGTGTCACCTTGGATAAGTCTTCGTTCTAATTCTCCAGTTATCACAGTGATTACTGACCCTCTCCTTTTTTTTGCTACCTCAGGCTCTGCAGGGGGTAGGTGAACATTTTGATGTAAAGCTGCAAGCTGATGTGGGTTACTTTCTATAGATGCATTATTAGCACTTTTCTTGACATTATGTGTTTCACACAAAGAGCTTCTAGAATGTGAAGAGACCTCTACTAGCTGAGCTTTGCTCTGTAATTCAATGTGCTTTTCTAGATGGCTGTACTCTGGTGTCCCTTCATCTAAAGCATTTTTGGTAGACTCAGAGTCTTCTTCCCATATGGCTAAGTTTCTCAGAGGCTCCTCATGTCCATTTTCTTTTTTCTCATTTATAGCACCACTGGAATGAAGACTCTCCCCTAATGTTTCTTCTTTTTCTTCACCTTGCCCCACAGAGTCTGCACAGTCATTCAGTAAACATGTGCCATCTAGACTTTCTTCAGGCTCAGATGGATAAACGGTAATATTATGATCAAATGACGTGAAAGCATACTGATATGAAGACTTAAGACCTCTCAAACTTCTCAGTGAGGAGGTCAAGTCAGGACATTCAGAAAGTTCTGTATAGCTGATATGAACATGTGAGTTCCTGTTATAGGCATCTCCTGCTTTGGTCTCCTTAGGCAATACTTTTAAGGATGGCAATGAATAAAACCCAGAATCCCTTCTAGGGTGAACCAGTGATGATGCATCAAGGGTAGTATCTGGGAAAGACTTTCTTCTTGCTGGTTTTTGCCCTGTGTCTTTCCATTTGTCACACTTCTTTCTTTCTTGACCTAGTTCATTGTTCTTACTGATATACTCCTTCCCAGTGTTTGGGTTATTAAAGGTATTACTAGCTACAAGATAATTTGTAGTATTTATTTTTGAGAAAAGTATTTTATCTTTTGAAAAAATTGATAAGTTTTCACTGGTGTGGTCTTCATAGTCCTTTTTGCTATGTTTATGGAAATAACTTTCTTCCCCCCTGATTCTCAAGGTTGTAGAGAGGCTGTCAGATTCCTTTCTGTCATTAACAGGGTACGAAGATATCCCCTCTGCAATTGTATCCAAATGCATTTTGTCACAGTCAGCAAATTCTTTAGGTGGAGGGAGAAGTGTACTTCCATCTGGGAATGTATAGTCTACTTTTTCATAAAAGTTAAAAGATGAGTCACAATCTGTATTGCAAGGTGCCTCTGTTACAGAGTAATCTGTTTCAATCCAATATATATCTTCATGTTTCCTGTTGCGGGTTTTACTGTGTGCCTGTTCACCAGGTTTGATGTTAACCTTTAGATTTTTCTTTCTATTGGTATATTCCACTTTAATTTCATTTGATTCAATGTTCATTTTCAGGGAGGAATTTTTATTGATGGCACGTTGAATTTTATGTTTAGAAGACTCCTTGTAATTCCCATGGTGTTCTGCTGAATGGTCAGTTGAAGAACACTGGTACTTGGAACACTTTGAACACTGGCTTCTCTGGTGTCTTTCTTGGCAACATGTATTGTTATTTGAACTTTTCCTTTTTTCAGCTATGAGTTTTGTTTCAGAATCAAACAAAGAAACATTCTTAATTTCTACTTTCACATTAAAAGAACCATATTTTACTTCAGCAGTAATTTTGCCAGTAGCCAAGCTAATGGACTCTGCAGAGTCTGGCTTGCCCCACAATGTAATTTTTCCTGTAGATGAGCCCTCTGATTCACCAAAAGTTACTGTAGCTAGGATTTCATCTTGCTGAGGAGAGAACATTTGGGAAGGGTGGTTCTTATCCTTCTTTCCTTCTTTTTCGCTGTCTGATACGGTATCAAGGTCTCTATCTTCAGAGGCATCTGAGCTACTCTGATTCTTGTTTTCATGATCTTTTCCATCTTCTTCAGTACCTTTTACATCCACTGGCTCGGTGAAGTGAGCCAGAGCCTCATCTGCTTTATTTCCAAGGTTTCCTACATTTTGTTGGCATTTACAAATGGGTGACAACTGTTCATCTAATTTAAGGTAAAAAAAGAAAAAAAATGTTTTTCCCATGATTTGTTAAGAAATGTCACAAATGTCTGATAAGCTTTGAGACACTTTTCATAGAAAATGCCTATTCTATCCTCAACGTGTAATGTATTTTCTACAACATTATTTTTTTCATTTATTAACTTCTTCTGTCTTAAGTATTTGATAAGTAATGTGAAGTCAGATAAACAGGGTAGGCCATGTTAATTCAATCTGACTGGAAGAAATTAATATTTTTTTTTTCTCAGAAAGTTTTACAGTTGTTATAGGATAAGGTATTCTATTTGCATATAGAAAAATCTACCTTTTAAATTTCATTACTTCTCTCAGTATTTACTTCATTCCTGTGAACACACTGGGACAATCAATATCCCATTGCATGTTTGCATTTTGGGGTAAATTACATGGAAGTTGACTTTTATAATCCTTTCACAGATGAGCAAACAAAGGGATAATGAATACTGTCACAATCATACAGCAGATCAGTGGCACGTTGCCAGGAGGATATGAGCCACAGTTCCCTGTTCGAAGCAGAAGAAAATACTGTTTTCTGGCTGGAGCTGTACTAGGCAAGATTTCATGGCATTCATACAATTACATAAAATTCTGCTTTGCTTGGGCTTTTTTTAGAATAGGCCATGTGCATTAGAGGATAACAGTTTACAGTGACATCTACCTAAGTAGGATTAGAACAAGCTGTTAGACAACACTGAGAAATTTACAGCAAGAATGCCGAAAATTTGAGGCAATTAAACATCAACATCTTAAGAAAGACTGCCAGATATAGCTAGGATAGCAACTCAACTAAAACAACTAGCCTCATCAAGACATTATCTGTATGTACCCACACTTGAGTGTAAATATTTCCAATCTGACAAACATTGGGGCACAAAGATGGATTTCTATCTTGATGAGTAAATGGAGAATAACCACCTATGATTCTGATGTTTTTCAAGTTAAACATTTATGTAAACTTACATTCTCTGGAATCAGAGCTCTTTCTGCCCTTGCAGATTTTTCTTCTTTTTCTACTCATTTCTAAGAACTGAGGACATCTGGATTCCACTCTTCTGTGTGGGAGGGAAAATATTGAATAATGAGAAAGTTTCTCTAGAATAATTTTGCTCTCTAGTTCTCTCAGGCTCTTTAATTTGTTTTCTCCTATGTGAAAACTGACTGGTTATAATGAAACCCAGAAAAGTGCTAGAGAAGGTAATAGTGCATCTATTCTATTCTGTTGATTGTTTGGGACCAAATTTTCAAAGGTTTCTAAATAATAGCTTAAAATCAAGGTCTGATGATCTCAGCTGTGGGAACTGAGCCGATATTTGATGATTGTGTGAGATTTTGTCAGTGGCTGACCTTTCCCAGCCTATTTTTATCCAATTCCGCTTTTTAAAGATTTTGTCAATTTTATTTATATACATAATGAGATATGAAATCCTTACTAATCATTGGTTTTTCTCTTGAGAAAAATTCAGACTTAATACAGGAGAATAAAAGGCTTTACCTAGGATTAAGTGCATAACTGAGTCTCATGCAGAGCAAACCAAAACCAATCTACATTCCACAGTTTGGGTTGTCCCTTGTGTTTGCTTGTTGAAAGAAGAAAATTGTCTTAGATGATTTTTTCACCTCATAGGGGAACTTGTTAAATGTAAGATTAATTGTTAATGCTATCTTAGTATTGAAGACCTATTCCACTCAAATTAATTGGTAAGTGGAATACTTCTAATAATTAATTCTTCAATAGTATTCTTTTCACAAAATCAATAAAATAAAAATTTAAAAGCTTAATTTTGTTTCTCCATGGACCTGTGGGAAATTTCACTGTCTGAATTTAACAGGCCTTAAGAAACGTGATATGAAAGAAGGTTTAGCCCACAGGAAATATTATGGATGCTACTATTTGTGTACTTCAATAATCTGAGACAAATTAAGAATCCCTAAACCCTCAACTAGGAACTGAGTTTTTCATCCATGTTTATTTAGCTAATCAGTCAGTTTCTTGCAGTTGATAACTGAAGTGAGACCTTACATTTATATCAAATTTAACACAATAGCTAAAATCCAGAAGTCATCTACCAATCCTATCATGCAATGGGGCTGAATGCTGACTGAAGGCATGGTATTGATGGAAGAGGTCTGTATCCCATGCATCAGGATTGTGATGTAGACGCTATTTAACCAATTAGAATTGGTAGCATTTTCTGAGATTGGTATTTCATTTGATAATGAAAATAATCAACTTTCCAAAATAAGTCAGTGTGTTAGGATGTGTTTCTGTTTATTTAATCCAAAGATTTTCTATTGTATTCTACACGACCTTGGAATAGCTAATTCACATTATCTGAAATTAGAAGTGTTTGAACTGCTCATACATCATCAGGATAGTCTTGAAAATCAGTAGTTATGTTAGGAAAATTCAACTGACTGCAAATGTTAATAGCCATAACCATCTTTAGATGATCATCAGTATATCAAATGAGTAATTGCGGAAAGAGCATGAGTGAATTTTTCAGGCTGTGAGTTTACTTGGTGTAACAGAGATGTATGGATTTTGTTATAAAAATGAGGATTAGGATAAAGGTTTTTAAATCATTGCACTGACATTACAAGACACATTTTACATGCCACTGTGTGCAGTTACACATAGCTAGTCAAAAAACTGGGAAAAAAATCTTGTTTCAATACAGTTACTGACTTCTTAAAACTTTTTAATTTTGTGTAAGGCTAAATGACTGAATATGCTAGTGCACTAACACATCCATTAGTTGGCTGCAGAGAAGTGCAGGCATTCTCCCCCATCTTCTTGGATTACACTAGAAAGGCTGAGTCACACATAGCTAGTCAAACTAGCTACACAGTTACACATAGCTAGTCAAAAATCTGGGAAAAAATTATTATTTCAATAGTTATTGACTTCTTAAAACTTTTTAATTTTGTGTAAGGCTATAAATGACTGAATATACTAGTGCACTAACACATCCATTAGTTGGCTGCGGAAGTGCAGGCATTCTCCTCCATCTTCTTGGATTACACTAGAATGACTGAGAAAGTTTTGTATTTATTTCACAGCAGACACTTTGTAAAGTTTATATTGTAAAATTTCAAAGCTTGACAGACAGTCAAACCTGACAGCTGAGCTCTATTGTCCATGGGAAGAATGATCTTAAAGCCAAATAGAAGGCTTTAAAGGACACAGAGGCAAAATCTGGGGCTGATATTTATCTGTAGTTTTGGATATGAGACAGTGTCTATTAGTTCCAGATAAAAATCAGTATTCTCTTAAAGGGTTATATATGCAAGCATGTTAAGAGTATCAAACTCCTATATAGAGGTGTCTTTTGTTATGTAAGATCTGCAGATTGGTGCATATATTTATGACAACAAGAACAACAGACAAACAGAGCTCCAAATCTGATTGTGATACTTGAGGTTTCAGTTATATTTCATTAAGTTGTAATTGAGAAAATATTTTTACTTCTAGGAATTCTCTCAATTCAACCTAAGGAAGATGCTACACACCCAGTTCCTTCCCCTTCCTTTTTTCCTTCTTGACCTTCATGGTTGTCTTTCCAAAATACTTACCTTTTGTTACACTGTTTTTTGTCTTTCCCCAGGAATTCTACTTTCTTTTTTTTTTTTCCCTATCCTATGGTCAGTAATTAAATGGTTAATCTCAATTTAGGAAGTGCAATTGCTAAATTTCCTTGATAAAATGCTGTTAAAAATTATTTGCCTGGTTTACTCTTTGCATTTGGTAGTTAAGTGTACAGCTGTATGCACTACAGATTACTCTAAAGAAAATCTGCATTTTACTGAATGCTGAGTGCACCTTACAGGCCAGGAATATATTTAGTACATAAATTGTTTAAGGCCTTTTTGTAGGAAAGAATAATAGGCATGACTGTAATCAGTTGGGAGTTGTTCTGAATTATGAATGATTTGGGGATAAGGTTAGCATGGTTCAAGATGGATGAAGGAGTAGAAAAGTGAAAAGACCACTGAACAATACCAAAAAGAAAAGAGGAAATACTGCAAGAAGGATGATGGAATATTGAGGAGGCAGAAAGTATTGTGGATCAATTAAAATGAAAATCATATTCGTTTAAGTTTCTCCTCAGAGCTATATGTTTTTGCCAGATTTTGTCATGGCAAAACATCATAAAACTTTGCAGAATAAATTCTAGGTCTGAGATGGTCACTAGTTCTACTGCTATTCAAATAGCTTTTAGTGGCATAGGACAATCTGAAAGTACTGAAGGTAGATAATGTTGATTCTCTGCATGCCAGGATTGTCAGAAAGAATCTAGTACCTTCTAAAACTTAATAATCTGAGCATGCAGCTGTGAAACCATCCGTAGAGGTAGCCACAGATTGAAGTTGCTCAGAGTGGTAGGATATTATAGATTTTGCTGTCTGGTCAAAGATGAGGCACCTAGGTGAACAGGATGATTAATCTGCATTAGTTTGGATTTGTTTGGGTTTTTTTTATGTCTGTAATTTGTTGTAAGTAGAACAAAATTATAATTTAGAATGATTGTTTGCACTGTTCATTTGTGATTAAGACATCTCTCAGATGTTTTTGTATTTATATATTAATGATTTTAATCATACATGCAGTGTGTTAAATTGTTGATATCTTAAAGCAATTTTAAAGTAAATACTGGAAAGAACCTTTATGAAGCCAATAGTTTTGTTGTCTCTACTACATTTCCGTATGTTAATTTATGCTTCCTCCTCTAAGGTTTACCACATCAGAAGAGGCACCAGTTCTTTGTTTTTCAGTCTTTTTTGTTTTGTTTTGTTTTGTTTTGTTTTCTTTTCCTTGCATTGTCTTTGTCTATTCTTGCTTTGTTGGTCGTACAGCTGAGATGTGCTAACAGAATCAGGAATCTCATCACCTTCAATCCTAGTCACATGAGTGACCCATTGACTTGACTTAGATAGATGCATCAGGACTACAGAGTAACACCCTGCATTAGGGACTATTCTGTCCACTGCTGGACACTAGATGAACGCTATATGAACACTAGTCTAATTAGTTTAGATGAGAACAGAGACACAGCAGTTCACTGGATGGAAGTCAACATCCACTGACATAGTGCTCTATATGACAGGTTGTTCTAAACAGCACTGTTTGGGTTAGCTCAGAATAATAACTTCTTAATTTTGAATGAAAGATCACACTCCACCATAAATATAGTTAAAGCTCTATCTAGGATGTGTTCATTTTCACTGTGAATAACATCCATAATAGCATTTCTTTCAGGATAATGCAGATGATGAAAAGCTTTGTGATAATAACGGTAACAAAATAACAAAATATTTTTTTTAACACATGTCACTGTGATAATCTTGTTAGGCAGGAAAAGTTCTCTTGAAAAATGATGGTTGGAAGTGAAATTGAGAATACAGGAGTTATTTTGCTTCACTTTTGAATACTTACAAAACAGATATTTTATGTGAAAACATGTGTGTTCTTAAGCTTTCTAAGCAAGCATGTTCAGTGAACCTCTACAGTAATGATGAGACACTGGCACAAGAGAAAAACTAATACAAAGTAAGGAAAATATGGAGAGAATATTTCATAGAATCAGAAAGGTTTGGGTTGGAAGGGACCTTGAAGATCATCTAGTTCCAACCCCCTTGCCACAGGCAGGGACACCTTCCACTAGATGAGGTTGCTCAAAGCCCCATCCAACCTGGCCTTGGACACTGCCAGGGAGGGGGCAGCCACAGCTTCTCTGGGCAACCTGTGCCAGTGCCTCACCACCCTTAAAGAATTTCTTCCTAACATCTAATCCAAATCTACCCTCCTTCAGTATAAAACTGTTACCCCTCATCCTATCCCTATACTCCCTGAGAAAGAGTCTCTCCCCATCTTTCCTGTAGGCCCCTTCAAGTACTGGAAGGCCACTATAAGGTCTCCCCACAGCCTTTTTTTCTCTCGGCTGAACAACCCCAACTCTCTCAACTTGTTCTTGTAAGATAGGTGCTCCACCCCCTGATCATTTTTGTGGCCCTCCTCTGGACTTGCTCAAGCAGACTCATGTTTTTATGTTTGGGGCGCCAGAGCTGAACACCAGCTGGGGTCTCACAAGAATGGAGTAGAGGAATAGAATCACCTCCTTGGACCTGCTAGCCACAATCCTCTTGATGCAACTCGGGATACAGTTGGCTTTCTGGACTGCAAATGGACATTGCTGGCTCAGTCAGTTTTCCATCCATTAATACCCGCAAGTCCTTCTCTGCAGGGCTGCTCTCAATCCACTCATTGCTCAGCCTGTATTTGCACATGGGATTGCCCTGACACAGGTGTAGGACCTTGCACTTGGCCTTGTTGAACTTCATGAGGTTTGCACAGGCCCACCTCTCAAGCCTGTGAAGTTCCCTCTGGGTGGCATCCCTTCCCTCCATCGTGCTGACAGCTTGGTGTCATCAGCAAACCTGCTGAGGGTGCACTCAATCCCACTGTCCATGTCCCCAACAAAGATGTTAAATAGCACTGGTCCCCACACTGACACCTGAGGAACACCACTTGTCACTGTCCACTTGGACATCAAGCTGTTGACTGCAACTCTTTGAGTGCGACCATCCAGCCAATTTCTTATTTACCGACTGATGTATCCATCAATCCATGTCTCTTCAATTTAGAGACAAGGATATTGTGTGGGACAGCACAAGTCCAGGTATTTAATAATGTTGAATCAGAACAGAGTGGTGACACAATGTATTTGCAAAATATTTAATGTTCTTTCAAGAAAATATTAATTGCTGTTTCAGATGGTAAGTTTCTTATAAGTTCAGTATCTTATGTTGTAGAATGCATGGCTATAAATACATTCAGTGGCAGCTCACAGAATAATTCCCCACTGAATCCTATACTGTTCACAGACTGTAGAATACTTTTACAGAATACCCGAACAATCCTTTCTTAAACAAGAACCTTCTAGTGCTTTTTTCTTCTGTATTTCAACCATGTCAAACCCTTTTGATTAATTTCATCTCTTTGGATACAGAATCCTACTTTTTGTCTCCATTGCCCTTAGGTAACCTTAACTACACTGAATTTTGTTCTCATTGACTTCCACTGGCTCTTCTTGTGTTTCTCAATATTCTATTCAATACTGATCTTTGCTCTGACTTTGCTACTCAACTTACCAACTATGTTTGGCCCAGGCTCTCACTGCTTTATTTCCTCCCCTCCTTCTCAAATTATTCTTAAAGCCTGTTTTTTCCTTGTGAATTTTTCCTTTCACTCTCCTGTGTTTTGTGGCATATTACCTGTTAGTTTTTATGTACCAAGGCAGATGGCCCACAGATCATTTACTCTTAACAATGTCATTAGGATGAGTTGTGTATGAGAGTCTAATGATGTCATACAGAGTAGGCAAAAAGGGCTCATTATTGATTTACTTCTTACTTGTCTCCTTCAAGTATGTCCTATTGAAGTACCTTCTGGTTTTGCGGCTTTTTTTTTTTTTTTTTTTCCTACAAAAATGCTCCGAATCTCTTTATCAAGCTCCCACTATTACCTTATTTGAATAATTTCTGAACATTCATTTCTGCAAGACTGTTGCCAAAAAAAATGTATTTTATGCCAAACACATGCAAGAAAAGTGATGTTATAAAAAATGTCTGTCTTAGCTGTGTTTCTTACTCCCTGCCTTAGCTTGTATGTATCTCATTTTCACCTGTTTATACTTTTGTCTACATATTCTTCTGAAAAGACTGGTCTTTAAAAAATGCCTTTGCAAAATGTCTAGAACAAGGGAATCAGGCAGCCATTTACAGGGACTGTAACAGTACCCTAAAGCCTGAAAATGAATTATATGGCTGCAAAGAATCGGCTTCCACTCAAATGGAACTCAGTAGTTATCTGGCAGTATCCAATTAGCTATGAGAATAGTGCATCCAAATGAAATGCTTAGAAAAGCATGGATAAGTGAAATTAATCTGCAACAGGTATTATATTGGGACCCAGTGATCAAGTATTTTATTTTGTGAAATGTGTTGTGGAATTTTTTATGAGCACACCAAAAAAGGATTTTGCTTTTTCAGATCATGAAAAGATAGCAAACCATCAGTCAATAATATTTCTGCAGTTCTGATTCTCAAGGAAGGTTACTGTCTAAGCAACTAAGAACATCACTTTTGCCATAAATGAGCATATTCAGGAAATCCAAATCCCATGTAATTAGACTTTGCATTATTTTGGACTCTTCTGTAAGCAACAAGTGACACCAGACGAAGTGCTTAAATAGGTTTTGACCAGTATTTTTTTAAGGAATAGTGGGTATACTGTTATTGCCATTATGTTAAAGATTTCTGCAGACAGGAAGCTCTTCATTTTAGTTTTTAAAAAGCTAATAAAGTAGCAGCCAGTCAAATGTTTTCAAGATTATTTTAACTAAGAATTGAGAATGTAAATGCCAGCAAATTCATGGTAAAAAAAAAACTTCAGCCATCATGGGCTGTATATGCACAAGCATTTTTGTCTTTTCAGGGAGAAGTCATAGGTTCATCTTTCAATTCTTAAATTCTGCAAAACCATATATAAAAGTAATTTTCTTGTAAAGCTTCTACTTACTAATTTTGCTTTCTGTTCAATTATTTTGAGCTTTTACCCCAACAAGAAGAAATACTGTATTAATAAAAGAAAGTATGCATTTTATATTTTGGAGATGTTTCATTTCTGCAACAAGATTGTTCATTTTTACCCTCATTTAAAGATATGCAGCACTGCAACAAAATGGAGAAATAGGTAGTCTCTGTGCTGTAAATGGTCTATACAGCGACCATGCGATGATTTTAGCACAATGAATATTTTAAGCATAATGAGCACTTCAACTTACTGAGCAGATTTTTCTAGTGGTGTCAGTTTAATGCAATGGATGTATTTATCATAATGTATGTAAAAATATATTTTTAAAAACTGGCATATCTTATTGTGCATTGTATCTCTGTTACACCTGATAAAATAATTTTATCTTCAACAAAAGTTCTGAAAAGATATATAAAAAAAAAATCTCATGAATTGTCATTTCTGTTGACATTGTTGGACCTCTGCTATTCCTGTTTTACAGATCAAAAGAAAAACTGCTAATTTGAATGTCAGATGGATTAACCCTTTTTTTGTCAGTGAGCTTATTTAGTATGCTATCTTGCATTTTAGTCACTTTTGTTTCTGTTTTTGCATGTAATTCATGCTTTGTCAGTATCGAACATGACAGCAGGTAAGTGAAATACCCTTCAGAAGTGATGTGGCAAATGGTCATGAAATTAGTAGAAAATTCACTGTAACACATGACCATTTCCAATAATAAAATCTAATTTCTATACTCAAAGACGTTCCTGTCAATTAAGTACTACAATTCTTTGTCAAGCTGAATTATTCAACCTTTTGGCCTTCAGAAGGTTTCATCTATTGTAATAATGTAAATCCAAAATCTTTGATTATACTTGAAAACCAGTTCACCAAAAGAAATCTGCACGATAGCTGTACACTGTAACAAGTTCATTCAGGTAGGCTTTTACTTCTAAAATTATATACTAAGACACATTAAGTCCCTATATGCTAAAATGACAGATACAGTCTTAGGAATCAAAAATCCATCTTAGAAATCCCTGTCATTTAATAAAACTTTCTTATTTACTCACAGTCAAAAATCCACCTGAAAAATCCCTTCTATTTGGGAAACTATCATTCTTATTTTTTCAGAAAACTAAACTATATACTGAACTATAATTGAAATTCTTTAAACTCTATGTACTGTGAAAAAAACCCTGAAGAAATCCCCTATTTTATAAAATCTATGATGAGTTACAACAATTAGTTACTACAGAATACTACCTGACCAAAAAAAAAAAAAAAAGGTTATACTTACTGTTACACGGAGCCAGTATTCATTTTCCTCAGATATTTGCTTGCTATTACGGACTCTCTGAATAGTTTGCTTTTCTAAGCTCATGAAAGATGGGCTGACCGTATTGCTAAGGCTTAACAGGATAACAAGTTCAAATTTTTTTTTTTTTCCTATGGACTTAACTACTTCTGTACTGTCAACTCCAGTCAGCAATGATATGCTGTATACACATATCCTTCCAAACACTGAATCAATAAAAGACTACTAGTTATTTCACTCTTAACAGCTAAAGCAGATAAGAAAAGTAACGACTAAACTTACCAGGGCTTTATAAAATGTCAGTTTTGTCTGAAAACTCTTAATGAATCAGATTATCTAATTAAACTTAAAGATAAAAGAGGAAGCAACATTGTTCACAGTCTTGCTCCACTTCTTTTTCTATTTCTGTCTCCTAAGCTCAGAATCTGCTTAGTATATTTAATTCCATGAAGCATCATGACTGGTCTACCTTTAATCAGCCCGTTGACATCCACCCTCTTCCTTCACCTGTTGCAGAATTCAATATAATTGTTTATCAGCTTGGTAATATTCCTATACAAAACACATAATATGTTCATGTGTGTGTATATATATATATATATATATATGGTATCAACACTGGAATGATTTCATTTTTCATGTGTTTACACATATTCAATATGAAAAATGAGATAAATATGCTTATAGGGACCAATCCAAAGTCTCTAAAAATCTCACAATCCATATTATATGAGTTTACATGAGATGGCAACACATCACATGAGTTTACAGCTTAGTAACAGCTAAGTTAGTAGTATCAATTTTGGTTTGTGTTTCAACACCATCTATTTTTTTCTACTTTATCAAATTACTAATTTTCTCTGTGAATGATTCATGTGTTGGGGAGGGAAAAAAGAAAAAGCTAAAAAAGGACTGGTTTAGCTTTTGAAAATGTATACATATTAAAAATTGTTGCAACACCAGAATTTATTAGAACTGAAAGACCACTGAAATACTACTCTCAACCTGAGAGATTATTGAAGTGTTGTTTCTCTCTTTCAAACTATTCTTTGTCTGTTTTCTTCATGTAGTAAAGTGAAATTTTTCATATTATTACCACTGTAATTAATTGCAGATATACATTGTTTACACAGATTCTGAATTAAAAAAGCAGCCTAATTCTTAATATCTGTATTGGTTATTGTACTGGTCTGGCTGAGCCAGAATTGGTTTTCCCCTATAGCAGCCTTCACAGTGCTGTGTTTTATGCTGGGAGCTGGCAGGGTGTTGACAGCACCCTGGTGTTGTGGCTACTGCTGAGCAGTGCTTACACAGCACCAAGGCTCTTTCTGACATTTCCCTCAGTGGGACGGGGTGGGCAAGGTCTTGGGAGGGGACACAGCCAGGACAGCTGATCCAAACCGACCAAAGGGATATTCCAGACCATAATGACGTCTGCTCAGTATAAAGCTGGGAGAAAGGAGGAAGGGGGTGGGGTCACCCTTGGTCCTCCAAGGCAACCACTATGTGTATTGGAGCCCTGCTTCCTGAGAAGGCCCGACATTGTCTGTCCATGGGAACTAGAGTATAAATCTGGTGGCTTGTTTTTTTTTTGCTTCCACGCACGGACCTTTGCTTTGCTTATATTCAAACTGCTTTTGTTTTACCCACAAGGGTTGGTATATCTTATTTTCTTTCCCCTCTTTGCCCAGGAGGGAAGTGATAGAGCGACTTGGTTAATACCTGGCATTTAGCCAAAGTCAAACCACCAGTTATGGATACTTCTGAGTTTCAGTTACAAACCTATCTCTATAGCAACCCACCATAACTTCCTACATGAAAAACCAGGATGGGTCTTATACACATATTTTTAGTTATTTTAATGTGATAAATTTTTTATCTTTACACTATCTATATATGCCCTTTCTTTATCCCCGTCTTACCTCTACTCCTCATTCATTCCTTGTTCATCCTTCTTCATGTGTAATCATCATAGTGCTAGTTAAAAATTCATTCCATTGCTTAGCTTCCACCACTGTTCGCATACTGTTCGATGTTCTCCTTTACTTGTATGAACAACCTACAACTAGGCTTCCTTCCGTCCCACATTTTAAAGATTAATTTCACCAATAACATGTGGTCCTGATAGTAGCTGTAGTTCGTGACAGCTTTTCTATTTCCCCTTCTCTGTAAAAGCAATTTTTAAGGGAAGCAGTGTACTGCTTCATTCTCATTTCCAACTAGCTCAGATAACCTGTTTTTCCTCATTTGTAGGTATAGCTGAAACAAGAGAATAAAGCAAAGTAATTATTTGTCAGCTGTTCTAAGGCTGTCAGAAATGCTTCTTGGTTTAAAATTTGATATGCAATGCCTTAAAAAAAAAAAAAAGCTGTGCACAGTGTAACATTGGATGGAAAAAAAAACAATCCAAACTATTAGGATTTGTAAAATATTTTTACTGATTCCAATCTGCAGATAATTTTGAAACACATCTAACATCATTCACTGATTCAAAAATATTCAAATTACTCTGAATAAACAAATCACCATATGATAATAAGTTAATAATTACAACTATAATTGCATTTTCTTAGGGTCATTTGCATTTCTTTTTGTATTACTGCAATGAATGCATAATCACATATTACTGAACCATTCCATAATGACAATAATACAACCAGTATACTTTTGTAACCTTCCATTTTGAAAGAATATTACAATTTTTTCAGTAACACAACAAATTAAGGCACAAATCTGAACTGCAGCATTAATATATAATTTTTATAATACAATTTTAATATAAATATTTCCATTCTTATATTGCTTTTCCAGTCTTACAGCTGGGGTTAATATTTCTTTCCACTGTATTCTTAATAAAATTCATAATAAAATTCTTAATAGCAGTAACAATCTTTGTGTTTCCATTTCCATACAAGAATTTTGTACAAATTCTGAGATACTATGTCTTGTTTAATTTATCTACCTTTCTCCTCAATTACTCTGTAGTTCTATTTCTAATTATCAGAGAATGAAGTAACTCACTGCCAAGGGACAACCTAAAATTTAGTCTTTTGAGGATGGTTCTCCAATACCTTTTTCATAAACAGAGTATTGTGTTATACCTTTAAATTCAGGCTGATGTACAATTGGGTAAGTGCAGCCAAATCAGACTGGAGGAGTAAATACTCTGCTTAGAGTATTAATGTAAAAGATACAAAGTACTACATTTTCACAATTTACACATGCTATTAGCTTAAAAATAACCATTGTTGATAAGACTTTCAGCACTGTGCCAGGCAGAATTTAAAGAATGGAGATAAGAAAAAATGAGAAAGACAAAATATGAGGATGTAATTACAGAGTTCAAACAACAGGCCAGTTCAGGCCTCTTTGTAATGCTGTGACTCCTTCCAGTGAAGGACAGGAAAATAAGCCTGTGCACAACAAGGTACCAATTTTACCTATTTGTTCCTTGCTTGCTTGGGATAATCACTGGGTTGTTGTTCAGTTGTAACTTAGATCTGGAAAACCTACAAACATTTAGCTCAGAAACCAAACAAAAAGCTCAAAATTTCATGTGATTGAATATTTACTAAATGAAAAGCTCTTTCTAATTTATTCCTAGTTCAGCATTCTCTAGAAGAAATCAATTATTTGAACTAAAGATTAGCATTCATTCCAATCCAATGTTTTATCAACTGGTGTGCAATAGCTTGTCTTGGTGGTACAAAGAAAGAATGCTGGTTTCCTTTAATGAGAACTTCCATAACCTGTAATAAAGAGATTTTTTTTTTTTTTTGTGAGAAGGTAGTATAATAAACTATATGGAATCTAACATTGTATTAATGCAGGATTTATCTTACTATGACGACCAATTAGTCTATCATTAGTAGAGCCACTACCAGATTCTCCAAGACAGATGAAGAGAAAAAAAACCACACAGGATTCTGTGTGAACTCTGACATTTTTGAGCTCAAATGTGCCTCGAAGGAGACATCTTTCTAATACAACTGTGGACATTGACTGTCAATATAATATTTAAGGTTTTTGTGAAGTCTATTTACTGTAGGGACTACCAAATGGTGCTCTACACTGTTCCATAAATTACTCTGGGTTTTTTCCTCCATATAGAGTGCAGTAGGAAATGTGTTTTGCTGGTTTTCAGAAGCAGTTGCAAGCAATACAGGAATACACATTTAGTTTACTTCATTTCTGAAGTATACTTACTTCCAATTCTAGACCAACCTGCATGTGACTAGCTGTATTCAGAATTGATATTCATTTAAAATAATGCTCTCAGCATTGTCAGGAATACATTGACACTATAGGTGATTAATATTGCCTTCAATTTGACTTACAGATTCAAAACACTTGCAGCTGCTAGGCAGAAATACACTGTTATTAAAAGCTTAGCCTGCGGAAAAACCTGTGAAGACTACCTTGTGTAAGCAATTTTTCCTTTTTCCACTCATGAACTTTTTTCCTCTATTTGACTACATTTTAAATACTCAGGAAAGCTCAGTGTAGAATATCCTATTAATGCAGAGTTAAACTGCATTCAATACCAGAGTATCAAAATAGTGCTGCATGGAAAAAGATGTTCAAACTAATGTAGTCCCACTTTTTACCTAAATCTCCTCCCTCAGAGCAAATCTGGTAGCATGCTTGTTTAGAAAAACTCAAGATGTTAAAAGCTACTGAATACTACTTCTGCCAAAATGCAAAACACAGGCTTGCTAAGGAAGTGGGTTAAAATAGCAATAATTTGGGTGTCTCTCAAAAGGAAAAGGTAAAGAGCTATGTGGCAAAAATGATATAAAATGCATGTGCATTCACTCAGAAATTACTGTGAATATCTGCCTTTCTCTGGTTGAGTGTAATCTGTAATTCCAATACAATGCAACTGAGGTATGATAAAATAGAGGGTATACATGCTCATTCAACTTGCTGAAAAAAAATCAAGTATCGAATGTATGCCAGAACCGACACTGCCACGGACTAATAAATACAATAAGGAAATTAAATTGAATTTTACCTGTTCCCTAGTGAACCAACGGGCATCCTCTATTTCATTCTTGTCAACTTTAATTTCTGTAGACACTGCAACAGCTAAGCAGCCAATCATTAGGGAGGAGGGCATTGGCCATGGCTGACAAGAGACATACTGAACAGGGCCAACTTTGACACCAGCCTCCTCTTTTACTTCTCTTCGAACCGCATCTTCTATTGTTTCGCCTAATTAAAGAGGGCAAAGAGCAAGCAGCTGATGAAGATACCCCAAGCAACAACTATATCCTGTGCCTTGAACTGACGTTAAAAATTTGTAACTGCCCAAGACAATTTTCTATAGAGATCTAGCTCACAGATCAGGGTGCCGATCCTAAGCACAAGATACAGAAGTCTAATAAGGCAAAACTAGCCACAAAAGCAAAATGTAACTTTGAAGATAGAGTATGATTTCTCCATCGTAACACTTATTTACTGGATTGATAATTTATCATACAGGCAAACTATTAGTACCACACCTAAAATGTCAAAAATTGGGTAAGCAATACATTGTTCTTTTAATTACATGACATGCTGATCTGTTAATTTATAAACAGCATTGTGTTATTTTTTTAAAATTATCAGTATGATTGTAACAGCAGGTAATAGAACTTGAAAATCAGCATTTAAAATTACAATAGTAAGAAAATAGAGACTTAAGAAGACTTACACACATTTCTGCATTGTATTATTCACTTCGCCTGAACCATTCTCCATTGTCTTAACACATACAGACAATTCTCCAAACTTAAACTGCAATGAAAAGCTTTACTTCCACATCACAAAAAACTGCTTAGATCTGTATGTGGAATGTTGATGTATGCATATGTAAGCCTATGACCACGTACTGTGTTGTAACCACTGATTACGGGTTCATTAAAGTGAATCTTTATCTGATACACTCCATGTATCAGAGATAGAAGTTTTAATTCAGCTATGTTCAGCTTAGAAGCTGATGGCAAGATTACCTACTCTTAAATTTCAGTTTATATACTTGAATTCAGCATCAGAAGGTAGTAAGGCCAGCAGAATAAACAAAGGAGTGAAGAAATAAACATCATGACTTTTTTCAAATGACACCTGAATAAACTTAAGCATGCTGTCACTGTATTTCACCTGTACACAGCTATTGAATATAGTTCCACTACAATTTCACTGGTGATTAAGATGCATGCCCAATATAACGTTTTACAAATTGTTCTGCAGCTACTAAAAATTGCAATTAATTCCAACTATTATTGCTGAACACAGCTAGCAAAATATCTCTTTCCTTTTGAAGTGATACAATTTCTGTTTATCTTGCATATAAACAATTAGGCCCTAAACATGTAAGCATATGCTTAACTTTATGTTAACTTCAAGTTATGCTTTAACTCTTATTTTTCCTATGATAAAATCCTTTGCTAAGTATTGCCAAAGAAAGGACCCTGTATGTGTTTCAAAATATTTTTTCACTTAAATATGTGATCTAAAAGTGCATGATGTGAAAAGGATTTTTAAATCATATTTACTGGTTACTGTTTGCTTTTTTATAAATCAGCTGCTGGAAAGTACAGATCAGGCATATTTAGTGTAACAACTTATCTAACGGGAAGCAAAACCATTTATTTGACATAACACTGAATGTATTTCTATATTATTTTTAATGTACAATACTAATACACGAGAAAAACTGTTTGGTAAGGGAAAATTAAATTACTCACCGGGTTCTACAAATCCAGCAAGACAGGTAAACATTCCTGGGGGAAACTTCTTCTGCCTACCTAAAAGGCAATGATTCCCATCTGGATGGATGACTTGCATTATCACAACAGGATCTGTAAGGGACATGAAAGGAATATGTTTCAACATTTGAGATACCAAGAAGCAGTGATAAATTTCAGCCTATTCAATACTAATGCATGTAAATGCAAATAAGATACCTTTAAGAGATTGAAATCAGAATTTTATAGATGTCCAGAGCAAGTTATTATTTTATTTCACTTTGGTTTTTTTTCCATGCAAGGTATCTGCATGGAAATTTCACAACATACATGCTTAGTAGAAGCAGTTTGCTAGCCAAGGCTTAAAATGTAGCACATAAATTACCTGCAACCAAAGCACCCAATCTGTTGAGAATATCAGCAACACTAACCTAGCCATGCATCCAGCAGATAGCAATAATTTCTACAGCAAAAACAATTTACTATCACTTCCTTTACACACACAGGCCTGAAGAATGTACTTTTGACTGAAATACCATAGACCAGCTAGATAGTCTAGTTACAATGTAAATATCGACTAAACTTTCCACTTTTTTGTTGACTGTTTGCTATCAATCTCTCAACTGATGTTGCACTTTTATTTACTTTCTCACTTCTGGTCATTTTATATATCTTTTTCTTTCTTTTCTCCTATTGGTATCATTCTTTTTGTCATGCCTTTCTGCACAGTGTTCATCTATGATCTTTTTCCCCTTTTTATTGTTATCTAGCACTTGAAGTATCTCAATGTTCTGGTTTTTTTTTTTTTTTTCTATGTATGTTTGCCTGTATATATTTGCTCTCTTGCTATCATTCTTCTGGGACCTTATTTTGGTCCAAAACACCAGTATTTTCTCTGTATGAAAAGGCTTGATTCAGCACCCAACAATAAGCAATAATTTCAAAGATGGCTGTCCTACTCAAAGGTATCTGCCACATGGCATAGCATAGAATATGAAGTGTTGTTTTTTGTCAACTTTCTTCAGGGAGAGGCATCAGTAGAAAATGCTAGTACATCAGGCTTTCCTATATAATCCCACTCCTTCCCTAAGCTTATTGTGCTAGAGACTATACAGAAACAGCCACTAGTATTTTAGCAAGCTTCACTATAGTCCATAAAACAAAATAATATGGCAGAATTGCTTTGATTGCTACAAAGGTGTATGCGGAACATGTAAGAGAACATGAAATTTAAAAATGCAACACACATACAATGTCCAGAACTACAACTGCAGAAGAGAGGACAGGGTAGGTGAGGGAAAGGTGGTCAAAGAGTCACCAAATTATCCAGGGAAAAAAAGGGTAAGGTTTTTTTCCTTCCTTGGTTCCCCATCAATAACATAGTATACTTCCTTTGTAACAGATGAAAAAAAGGAGTTATAAAAGACTTTCTATAGAAGTTTATATTCTGAGTAGAAATAGGCCTGGCAGTTTGCAACTGACAATGAATAGTGAAAGCCAGTGAGGATGACGAACACAATTAAAACAGCACTAAGGAAAATGAGCACTGCATCAGAATTTGATATGGGACCAAATTTGACACAGAGCTATTTCAAGCTCAGATGGCTTGCAAAGGGAGAAAACAATATGGAGGGAAGGAGAAAAAAAAAGTAAAATGTGACCCTCTGTATTGATATCTCATTTACATTGTTGGAACTTCTAACTGATATTACTCCATTGTAATAGATTGATTTTGTCACAGACTACTGAAAGAAGCCTGAGCTACTTAATCCTAAATAGAGCTGAGATACATGTACTCTGGGGAGAAACAAGTATGTAACACCTGGAACAGAAGCAAGCAGTTGAAATAACAAAATTAATTGATTTACAGGTATATAGTAGTACAAACAAGCCACCTTTTGACCAAGTTTATCCTACAATATTCTCACCAACTCTTGGGTATGATGTGTTGTGAACACCTTGGAGACTGGGACAATCTTCTTTTAAGCAACTTTTCTTGTAACCCCCTTCTTCAGTCTTGGTTGCACTCCCACATGTTGGGCAGAATCGGTAGCGGTTGTGCCATGCCAGAACAGATCTAGCCTGGGCTACTACTCCTTTAAAGCAATACATTGAAAACACACAGAATTAAATACTAATTCATGTAAGATTTTAATGGTATAGAAAAAGCAAGTAGTAAAGTTTAACATAAAAATAAAGGTAAGACTATGGCTTGAATTGTGATCTACTATAGAAGAAGTTGAGAAAGATGAGTAATTCAGATCTTTTCCTTTGTAGCACAGCATACACAATAGAGCACAGTACTATGTGGCTACAGAACAATTTGTGAGTTCAGAAACAAATTTATCCAGATCAATATACCCCATTTCTCACAAAAGTTACTTTGTCTAGGCAAGGTGCCATAATTATATATCACACCTTTTCCAGTTGAGCATTTTAGGGCTACTACAGGTACTGATATAATAATCCATTGTTCCATTTAAACTTCAGGTTCAAGTCAAGTTTGCCCTTTATTCTTCTGTAAAAATAAAACTGTTGTAACAGCAGTTGTTAACATGTCTGTAATGAAATTCATTCACTTTGGGATCCTGACTTTCTAACACTTGCTCACAGTTTACTGCTCAGACAGGCATCCAACACACCAGGGACTTTAATTTCCTGTAATGAAAACTCAGTAATGACAGATATGTTTCTTCTCTTTAGAACCGTAATGCTCATGCATTAATATTTAAATAGTACCATGACGATACATAGATTTTACAGTCTAATACTTGCCATTGCATTTTAGCTCTTTGCAAGCACACATTTTCTTACATACAAAATTCTTCACAAAACCACTACCAGGCTTTTAAAACTAAAATATTTCTAAATCCACTGAAAATACCTGATCCCTTTGCAGTGGTTTCTCCTTGCATTACACCTCAGTGAATCCCAAACTGTATCTTTCTGATTTTATACATTTGATAACTGCTGCATTTTATGCATCTTACCAGCTTCTTTTTCAGGTAGCTGCAGTAGTGCTGGCATTGGTGGGTGAAGAAAGTAACAGTCCTCATGCTCCTGTTTAAATTTCTCAGCAGAAGCAGAATCTATGCTAAGAGCAAACCAAGCAACTAACCGATCATCTTCTTGCAGAACTCTTCCATTGCAAGCAGCCAGCAGGTTCATGTGGAACTGGAGTTCAACTCCAAGAAAAATCAAAGTGCCTCCTTCAGTTTGGTTCATGTACTGCTTCACATCTTTGTGGTACAGCCTGCAAAGCTTTACTTCTGGCTGCTGGGGGCTCTCTATTCCCCCACCCAAAGTAACCAAAGGACTTAGATTTGAGAAGAGGATGTATACTGTAGTTGGATGGCTTTGTTTTTTGCTTAGCCACTTAGAATCTGTTCTTTTATCACTCCTTCTGTCCAGAAGTGTCAAACCAAAATAATTTTCATATTCTTTCACTTCATTTGACAGAAAATTAGGCACCTGCCCATCCTTCACATTAGCCAACAAATTAGCTATGTGCTTGTACCCCCAAAGTTTAGCAATATCCAGAGCTGTTTGCCTTGATTTATTAAAGATGGACCTGTCACACCTAAAGAAACAGAAAAGAACAATGGTTAACAGGGTAAATATGTTTAGGAAGAGTCCTGATGCTGTATTATTCTCACTTACAGCATATGCATTTGATACTCTTAAGGTGCAATGACTTTTAGACACTCTGTCTATATTGGGGCACTCTTTAGGCTAAATACTTAGCATCATGGTAATGAAAAATAATTGTACTTCATTCTCTTTTGCTAAAGCCAGATTCTACATTTTTGTAGTTCTGCTCCAGATTATCACTTACCAAGGTTCATGCAATACAACAATAGCAATGAATTAATATCTCACACATTGTATCATGCCAAAAAAAAAAAAAAAAAAGGCTCAAGATCATTAACAGAACTTTGGCTACAGATCTCTTCTGAATAACCATTAATAATAATTTTAAAAAGCAGTTTAACCAGCATTACTTTCTAGAAGATGCTGAAAACAGCATCAAAACATTTACATTAAAATATTTACCATTAAATATGAGCCAAGAATACAGACTCTGCTTAATGAGAGAAATAGCACCCTTACAACTGTAGTGCTGGTCCCTGTAGGGACCTCTTTTGTTACCAAAATGCCTGCAGAATGAGATAGATGAGGAAACATTGCCTCGTGATATTAACAACAAGAACCAGTTTGGAGTTAGTTGGGAGGTCAAAAATAATGTACTTATTTTTTGTCAATTTAAACTCAAGTGGATGAGTAAACCAGAAATGTTACTGTAAACTACAAATTATACAGCGACGTGGGGCCACTCCTGAGTTTTTAAAACCAGAAGATGCCAATATCAGATCATGTTGCTGATACAGTGGTAACTGTACCACGGGCAAGACTGTTTTGACTTGGGATTTTATATTAACCTCAGTAGAAAAGCATTCAAAACTTAATTTAGAAGATTTTGGTGCTGAAGAAACTACTGTTGCCCATTTACCTTTAATGATTGTTTCCTTTAGGCAAAATCTTGACTAACTTCCTTCTTATTGTCTTATTTCTCAGCAACTGAATTTTGTTCTGATTTTGTCTTACACCTTCTATATGCTCAGGTATGTGCAGACTGTGATCAGGCTGCTACTTGGTGTCCACAGCAGTGGCCGGAACTCTTTAGATCAGTAAGATTTTTTTTCCAGTCTACAAACATGTCCTGTAGCTTTTTTCAAACATGGATGAATATTTTAAAAAACTGACAAGCTTTCCTGGATGAATCTCTGGAATGTTATGTAATATTACCTTCACAGACATTCATGTTTATGTATCTAGCAATTGTATTTTTCCAAATGATTAATGCGTCTAAGCATGCACTAAACGAGATCAATGAGGCCACAGCATCAGGAACTGAGTTCAACTGCCAAAAAGAATGGGCCTTTAAGGGACATTTTTTTTTTTTTTTTTTTTTTTTTTTTTTTACAGTAAGCATAACTTAAAAAACTGCTATCCTATTTATCAAACTGGTAAATTCCCCAAAGTCTCAAAAGATTCCTCATTACACAGATGATTTTAATCCATAAAATCTGTCAGTGAGATATTCCTCTAGATGCTGGTATGTCCTCTATGACAATGAGAAATTCATCAATCAGTAGCTTTGGTAAAGGTGTGTCTGTCATGTCCCACTTAGCAGCCAGTACGTCAGCAAACATTGTGCAGTATAACATAGATGCAAGCAGTTTAGAGAAAAAGTCTAAGTGGAATAATCAAATACACCAAATTTATACTCATTACAGTGGTTGTAATGGGATACTACAAATTCTGTTCTATTCTCTTGCTCTCTGCTCTGGTAGGAGTGACAATATATCATTAGAGATCAAAGGAGTAATTTCAGAGATGCTCACAACTTTGAATGAGTTTCTTAGCAAATATGGAAAGCATGCTGCAATATTAGAATCCAGTTATAAACAGACACATATTTTCATAGAATCATAGAAGGGTTTGGGTTGGAAGGGACCTTAAAGATCATCTAGTTCCAACCTGCCCTGCCATGGGCAGGGACACCTTTGACTACATCAGGTAGCTCAAAGCCCCGTCCAACCTGGCCTTGAACCTGTTCCAGTGTCTCACCATCCTCACAGTAAAGAATTTCTTCCTTACCATCTGATCTAGATCTACCCTCTTTCAGTTTAAAACCATTACCCCTTATGTTACCCCTATACTCGCTGATAAAGAGTTGCTCCCCATCTTTCTTGTACTTCAAGCACTGGAAGGCCACTATAAGGTCTCCCTGACCCTTCTCTTCTCCAGGCTGAACAATGCCAACTCTCTCAGCCTGTCCTCATAAGGGAGGTGCTTGAGCCCCATAATCATCTTCATAACCCTCCTCTGAACCCACCTGAGTAGGTCCATGTCTTTCTTATGTTGGGTGCCCCAGAGCTTGACACAGTACTTCAGGTGGAGAGAATCACCTCCATCAGCCTGCTGGTCATGCTTCTCTTAATGCAGCCAAGGATACAGTTGGCCTTCTGGGCTGTGAGGGCACACCGCTGGGACATAGCGAGTTCTATATCCACTAATATCCACAAGTTCTTCTCTACAGGGCTGCTCTCAATTCACTCATTGCCCAGCCTGTATTTGTGAATGGGACTGCCCTGACACATGTGCAAGACCTTGCACTGGACTTGTTGAATTTCATGAGGTTTGCACAGGCCCACCTCTCAAGCCTGTCAAGGTCACTCTGAATGGCATGCTGTCCCTGCACTGTATTGACTGCACCACACAGCTTGGTGTCATCAGCAACCTTGCTGAGGGTGCATTCAATCCCACTGTCCATATCACCGACAAAGATGTTAAACAGCACTGGGACCCATACTAACCCCTGAGGAATGCCACTAGTCCCTGGTCTCCACTTTCTTGAGTTTTAACCTGGAAAATTCTGCTTCTATCAATCTATTTATCTGATAAGTTTACTTTTCTGAGATCAAGTTGAAATGGGCAAAAGGGGACTCAGGTTAGAGCTCTTCAATGGGATGTACTAAACAGCTTACCTTTCTTCAAGAAGAATCTGGACAACCTCAAGGTGACCATTTCTGGCACCATACATCAGGGCTGTCCAGCCGTTATCTGCAGCCACATTGATAAGTGATGGATAACGACTGAGCAATGCTTTCAGTTTGGCTGCATCTCCAACAGCAGCAGAATTATGCAGCTGAGAAATGATGTCCTGATGGAGGTTCTTTTCAGAGTCTGTCATTTTGGCAACTAAGTTAAAAAAAGAAAACAAAAATGCCTGAAAACATGTCCACCATTAGTAAAAGCATTTAAGTAAAGCAATTAAGTTTAACACTCCACAGATGAATGCATGTTATCACCAAAAGTATGGACACAACAGTCAAATTCTTCTAATTAGTATAACATTGCTATTTCCAATCAAATCTTAAGTCACACACATCTCCAAATACAGTGAAATTTTATCCTAAAAATCAAGACTAGTTTTTTAAGAGGCTTCAGGAGAGAAAGATTTTGCTATGAAAGTGAAGCTTCTTCGAATGTGAAAAGCATGTTCTCATTTTCCAATCAAACACAGCCACAAAACAGAACAGCACAAAGCCCCACTCCAAGAAATGAGTCTCTGACGCTTTGGAAACAATGAAAACTAACCGCAAAAAAGGCAAGTCCCTTCGCAGGCTGGGGGAATCCTCCAAACAGTGACAGATAACTAACTTTTGCTATGCCTCCGGCGGCCGTCCACCTTTCCGTCCCGGAGCAGGGCCGCTGGGACCGCAGCTGGCACACGGCATCCACGCAAAACAACGGAAGTTTATTTTCCGTAATATTCGCTCCACGATCACCTCTCAAAACCACGCACCGCTTTCTCCACGGACCCGAAGCCTAGGCAATCTTGCAACGACCTTCTGACCGCCGTACGCTTTATCCCCGCCCCTGAACGCCCTGCGCCGGGGCGGATACCGCGCAGGCACAAACACCTCCAGCCGCTCCCGCCGTTTCCGGCCGCTGCAGCGGCGCAGAGGTGCAGGCACTTTGTCCCCGAGGCGTGCTAGAGTCGGGGTGGGCCGAGTGTCTCGAGTGCGCGGGGAGCAGCGGTTACGGGGGGCTTTTTAGGGCAGGGCGGGACCGCACATAAGCCCTGGGTTGGCTTGTTATCATGCTGGCTGGGGCGGTGCAGCGGCCGCGGGGAGCGGGGTTTTGGGCGCTCTTCTGCCGTGGCGGGGACACGTCCTGGGTCCGCCCCGCCCGGCGGCGGCCGTGGTGCCGTAGAGGCGAGCCGGACGCGGGTGGTGTTGGGGTGCGTATAGTGAGACACGGCCGGACGGAAAGCCCACTCCGGTGCGGCACCGGCCGTGCGCCGTACTACAGCATCCGGTCTTTGCAGTGGCCGTCGGTCTTCAGTGCCGCCGTCTTCTCGGGGGCGAGGGAGCAGCGAGCTACCGCTGGCGGAAATCAGCCGCCATTACCTGGGTGCTGCTGCCAGTTGGGCCAACTTGCCTGACGGGTTAAAGAAGAAACTGCCATTTTGTCTTTCAGGGAGGAAGCTTACGGTTATAGAAAGCAATCAGACCTTTTTAGCTTTGCTTCTCCATGCTAGCGGAAGGCAAAACCATGTAGCAATAGAATATGCAAGTACGTTTAAGAAAATTGGAGTAAGTGAGATATCACGGGGGGGTGGGGGGTGGGTGGGTGAGAAGAATTAGCAGGGAAAATGGAATGATCTTTGAAGCCAGAAGATAGTTTAAGTAAAAGTGTGTGCTGTTAAGCTAAGAAAAGCTTGGGGAAGTTAAGGCTCTACTAGTCCTAGAGAAATTAACATGGGAGTCTTTCAGTCTCTTCTGTTGTTTGCTTCTGTTGGTTACTTACAAGCTGTGTGCTTGGTTTACAAAAGCTGTTAACCAAGTGGCAAACATAGTCTCAAGTCCTGATGTTGGCCACGAAGTTTCAGAGAATCAGAACACTATTCTTTTAACATCACTTTACCTGAAAACAAAAATACTGGAGTTTCTTTTTACTTGCCTTTGGAATTTTTGAGTTGGGAGGATTCACATCTGCAAATCTATTCAACATCACATACCTTCCAAACCAGAAGAACTGGACAGCTTTTGTCCCTGGTGCTTTTAAGAAAACACAATATATTCCAAAATCCATATATTACCGAAGTGTCATGTATTTTTGGTATTGAGTGAAGAGGAGGAGAGAAATTGTGGCTGGGTCCTGTCAGTCCCAGTAATGGCAGATATAACTACTATATCTCATGTAGTCATGGATAGAAAAACTTAACCTTTATTTTTAAAACTCATTATTTTTATTTAAGGTATTTTTATTATAAGTTATAAAGTTTATGTAAGTTACTGTTCTTTGCAGCTTATGCAGTTCTATATTGTTTTTAGATGGTCAGTGTTAAAAATCAGCTTTCATACATAGTAAGTGGTTTGTTGAACATAATAGTACAAAGTTTATGCGTGTATTGTGTGGTCTTTGTAACTCCTTGATAAGCAAACTTTAAAGTTCATGCTTGGTCTTAAGTTTTGTACTGTTCCTAAAACTTCCTCAGCAGAGGGTCAGCCATGTGAGAGAAATCTCCCCTTAGAAAAAATGCAGATGTAAACCAGTGAATGTGCATAAAGAATTGATAAGATAATAACAAATGAAAAAGGTAAGGGATGTGATTTTAATTTTATTCACTCACCTGGAAACTAGCCATATCCTCTGTGATGTTATGTATGTACCTGTATTTTTTTATACCTGGTGAAGGGGTGCCATCAGCCCTTCAGTAGCTAATGCCCAAAGTAATTTTTTCTTCCTGTGATGATTAATGGCTGAAGAAGAAAATAACTATTATTGTAATAGACAAAGCCACAATTCTATTTCTTAATGTTTTAAATCTACCATTTATGAAGTTAGTACAATTCAACCTTACATTCTGCTCTGTGTAATGATTTCCCTGGTTTCTTGCGTGGGCTAACGCAGTCTTTGTGTTCTTTACTTAACTCATGGTGCTCTGTCAACGGCTATGAAACATTTTTCTTTGTGTGTAAAAACTCAAGAAAAAAGTAAGCATTCTAAATCCTAAACAACATACTAAGAGGGAGACTAAGCTGAAAGATGGATGGTTTGGAATTCAGAAAGAAGAGTATCACTTGAAAATTCTGTGATACAAAGTATGTGCCATCTCTTTAATTAATATTCCTTTACAGGATAATAAAGCATGTAAGTTGCTTGTGTATAATCTATATACACACAAAAAAATAACAGTACTGTAGCACTGAACAACAAGTATCCTGCTACATGGTGAAAGAAATGCTATAGACTAAAAAATCAGGTTTGGTTTGGGGAGGCTTTTACTATCTTTGGTGGTGCTTCTGGTAGTACCTTTATCATCTATGGCATGTAAAATGGAAATGGAGTTTCAGATGAGCATCTAACTAAACTGTTTCATACCCAGTATTTAATTATTAGGCTTTTTTTCTTGCAATAAATTTGGTTTTTAAAGGCTAAAACAGCGGTACTTTTCAGTATTGCTAGAACTTTTATTTTTTGCCTTAGAATTTTTTTGTGTGTATATGGGTGTTATCTCTTCTAGCATGACACTGACTTCAGTATCAGCTAAATATGTGGAAGATTCTTTCCTTTAAACTCTTGAAAAATACGTATACTTTGTATTACATCCATAAGGCATGTGAAATCTTGCTTGTGCAATTAGGGTATTCCTAATATCAGAATGCTCCTGCCTCCCCTTTTTCCTTTTCCCCTAATTTGCTTTTAGGAAGTTTTGACCGTGTAAGTCATGTCTATGTTGGATCCTACAGAAATTTCTGTACTTGTGAACTTTATTTAAAGTTTCTTTTTTTCCCTCCCTGTTTTCCAAACATAAATGAATTGTTTAGGCATTAGTATCACTAAAGGCTTTCTCAGTTTGCAAAATCTGAATTATTTTCTTCTTGAATGATACGCTATTCGGACAGAAGAGTTCTTGTTCTTAATTTTCCCAGGGTTCTGTACATGTTCCAGAAGTGCAGTACAAGGTGACTAATGCTTATTTTTTTAAGGCTTCTTTTGTATTCTATTTTGGATGGAAAAACTCCTTGAAATAGAGCAAAGTTCACATTTTTTAGAAAATGCAATTTTATGTAATGAGTTAAAATTGTTACGCTAAAAGTTGTATAGCTTGGTTGTTTTTTTTTTCATTCTTCCCCACATGCTTTCTCATATGTTAAAAAAAAAAAAAAGAGAGAAAGTAGTATTTGAGACATCAAAATACGAAAGTCATACTACTACAGTAAGATCTTGCAAAACTGGATGCAGTTATTCCAGTTGGGACATGCATGTCAAGCTAAATCCAGTTCTTCCACCTGTATTACATTTTTTGATTCCTTACTTCAAATGGAATTTATGTCATCTCCCAGTGCATCATTGCAAAAATAACATGGTACCCTTTGTTTTAACTATAATAAAAAATTGCAGGGAATTTAAAGTGGTCATAACATATCAACTCGTGAGTTTGAAAATTATAGTTCTGCTAAGAGCTTTAGTTATTGAGCTGGATAAAATGTTACAAATTCTTATGAATATGTAGAACTTTAATCATTGTGCTGGATTTCCTAAGAGCAATTTAATAGTTCATTAGAATTAAAATATGCAGTGGAAACTTGCTTCAAAAGCTGTATCTTTCTTTGATGTATTCAACCACTGAGTAAAGCTCACTGAGGTCAAAGTGGTGCCGGATTTGGGTGTGCCATGGTTCTTTAGTTTTGTAATAAATAAATAAATACTGTCCAGTATAAGATTTGCCTTGACTGATTCTGTTGGCTCTTCAATAGTGGAGAGGTTGTATTTGTTGTTGTAAAGTTGTATTTGTAAGGCTTCCAGAGTCATGAGTGAGGTTGTCAGTGTGAGAGTAGAAGTGGATGCTGTGCCACTGATTTACTCTGATCCTGGAGGAGACTCTGTTGGCTCTGTATTGATAATGACTAATGATAGTCTTTTCAAAATGCTTTCTGATTACTACAGACAGCAAACAGGAAGTTATACCTGAATGCCCTGATGCCCTTTCATTTTGTGCTGCAGGCTCTAGAAGAAAATTGCATGTGCCATAAAGAATGTACAAAAGTACCATTGGCAGCATTGCAGTGTGCAGGCAAAACCAGAGTTGGAGTGCCTGCAAGCAGTGAGACAACATTACTCCTTTTAGCATGTTTCCCAGTTTGAGCCCATTCACTTATCCCTTCCTTTGCAGTGCTGGGGAGGAACAAATGAAACAAAAGGTTCAGGAACTGTATCTAAGGACAGGGAGGGTTAGTAAATTCACCCGTTATGGTCACAGGCAAAAGACAGGCATGTTAGGGGAAGAAAACAAGAACATCACTTTTATTCAAACGCTAACAAAATCAACGGTTAACAGACAGAATGGGACAGTAGGAAGTGTTAATGCATCTTAAAACACCTCCCCCCTCCCCTTCCTTCTTTTCTGGCTCAGCTTTGTTTCTGGTATATCTCTCTCCTCTGCAGGAGATGCAGGGGTAGGGTGTGGGGGGGTGCAGTCTGTCCGCTGCTTCTTCCTGCACAGGAGCAGAGGGAAGCACTCTTCAGCATTCTTCCTCCTGCTCCACATGGCGTCCCTCTCATGGGAGACAGTCCTCCACAAACTTTCTGCGTCGTGAGTCCTCCCCATGGGATGTGTTTCTGAGATGCTCCAGTGTGGGTCACCTCCATGTGTTGCAGTCTTCCCAGTGCTGAAGAGCAACGATGGGGGCTGCTTCTTCCCACAGGGTCCTGGGAGTCCTCCACAGGCTGTAGACAAATCTCTGCTCTCCAGTGATCTCCATGGGTGGCACGGCGGGGGATCTCTGTTCTGGTGCACCTTCCTGCCCTTCCTTCCACTGACCTTGGTGTTCACGTAGGTGACCTCCTCACAAGTGTGCCCCCCCATCTCAGGTTACCCTTCTTAAAT